AGGAAGGGAACTCTCAGGAATTTACACCACCTAGCCAGTGTCTGCGGCACCTGTGGCCAGCTCCAGTCAGGGCTCACTGTTCTGTAGCCTGAGGAGGTCAGGCCCCTGAAGGGACTGCTATGACAATGATAGTGGGAGGTGGTCACTCTGGATGAGGACTAGGTGACTTGCATGGAACACTGTCAGTGACACTACGATGATGCCCTATTGTAAACCATACTAAGTTTTCCCTTCCGGGTGAGTGAGGTCACCCCACGTGCAGCACAGGCCTGGGTTCAAAACCTAGACCATTGGTCCCCTGTGATGCTTCCACACCTGGCTAGTTTCCTAAGGCTATAACAGCTCTCCCAAGAACCCTCAAACACACAACAGGCTCTGCAGGGTGCTGTTGGGATGAGCGTCCTATAGCAGAGAACTGGCCTTATTACAGTCTTTGCTTCCAGCTGCTGGACCTCCTGGAGCCATTGTTCCTGAGACTTAGCCCGAGAGGCCTTTGATGCCCTTCACCCCGATCCCAGCTCTGCTTCCCAGGGTACACAGCCAGGACACCAAACACTGGGAGTGGGAGGGGTTTTCTGCTCAGCCCCTGGTCCCGAACTGTCCCGGGTTCTGGGGAACAGGTGAGAATTAAAAGCAAAAAAGGATGAAAAAGAATCAGTCTGGGTAGGTCAGAGAGTTAGCACAGCAGGTCAGGCACAAGTCTTGCTGACTCCGGATTGGTGCCCGAACCTCGTGGGAGTGAACCTGCACCACACTGAGAGTAACCCCTGAGCACAGTCAGGAATAAGCACTGAGCACTGCCAGGGATTACCCCAAAACACACACAGGAAAGAAGCAGCAGCAGATGGGCCAACCGGAGCAGGGTGGCAAGCTCGAGGGGAGGCCCATAGGAGGTCTGGGTGGGGTGGCGCCTGCACAGTCTCCCGGCCCTCCTGCCTCAGAGCCTGATGGACAGACCCCGTCTAGGGCCTCTCTCCATCTGGGGCTCCCACAGACGGGGGCCGGCCTGAGTTTTGCACCCAGCTTGTTCCCTCGTCCTGGTCCCCACCTGGGAATTTGGGTCACTGGGTCCTCCTCCCCATCTCCATTGCTCTGTCTATACAGCTGCCCGTGGCACCTTTGAGCCCTCAAGCCCCTCCAGAGAATCACTGAACCCCATGATTCTCTCAGAGGGGAAGACCAGGCCTAGCCCTAGCCATGATCTGCCATGCCGGGCGGCAGCCCCGCCTCATTCAGGGACCCTGTCCCACTGCCGTGTTTCTCCCGGCCCCCTACAGGCCACTTCCACTTCATTTCATGAACAGACATTTTTCTGGGGTTATATGGAGGATGCGGGGGGTGGGGGGGGTAATCCACACCCAGAGGCACTCAGGGGCTATCTTGACTCTGTGCTAAGGCAGGACTATGAGGTGCTGGGGATCTGAACCCAGATCAGCCTCATGCAAGGCAAGTGTCTTACCTCCCGTACCATCGCTGAGGTCTCTGCATGTGATCTTGGCTGTCCTTGGACATGCACGTCCAGAACCCCACAGCACCTCCTTCCTGCCTCCCTTCTAGTTATTACTCAAATGTCTCTTTCTGAAGTCATGGTCTCGCAAGCTTATGCTACCATTTCCGTCCCAGTGCCCTCCCTGGCTGATCAACCCGTGTGTCTGACCCATCACCCAGGGCAACACCCTGCTCGATCCCTGTGCGGTCCACTGACCCCAGGAGAGTCCTGTGCTGAGGCAGAGGATGAATTCAGTTGCAGGCCAGGCACTGGGAAGAGCATGCACCCGATTCCCATATGACCCCTGAGGCCCTGAGTGGTGTCCCTCCTAAGAGACCATCTCGAGTGGGTGGATATGGAGAGGATGATGCTGAGTGAAATGAGTCAGAGAGAGGAGGACAGACATGGAATGATCACACGCATGTGTGCTGTATAAGGAACCATAGTGGGGAATCCCTAAGGTCCAAAGGCAATAGAGATAAAAGGCAGGAGAACCAGCTTTAGTAGAAAGCTTGACACAGTGGGGAAGGAGCGGCACAGGGAAGGGACTGCTATGACAATGATAGTGGGAGGTGGTCACTCTGGATGAGGACTAGGTGACTTGCATGGAACACTGTCAGTGACACTATGATGATGCCCTATTGTAAACCATAGTGCCTAAAAAGAGGCAGGAGGCAGGGGGTGGAAGAAAAAGGAAAAGAAAAGAAAAAATGCTTGCCATAGGGGCGAACTTGGGGGCAGGAGGGAAACTGGACACTGGTGGTTGGATGTAGACCGTGGAAAAGGGATGGGAGCTGGCACGTTGTAGTCTAAAACTCAATCATGAATAACTTGCAATGCACAGTGATTCAACTTGAAAGTTTTTTGAAAAGGGGAGAGAGACACCCCCTCCTCCATCTTTGCTTCCCAGAGATTTGCCTGTGGCCTTTGGGAATTTTTTCCTCTGTCACCACCAAAAATAGTGCCTCCTCGGCCTCCTAGTACCCCCTCCCCACCCCATCAATGTGGCTCCTGGGCACCACAGGGTTACGCCGAGCCCCTTCTTATTGACATTGTTCAGCTCCTATTTTTTTTATTTTGTTTTGTTTTGGGGTCACAACCGATTGTGCTCAGGACTTACTCCTGGAATGCTGGGGATCAGGGATTGAACCCAGGTTGGCTGTGTTCGAGGCAAGTGCCCTAACCACTGTACTATCTCTCTAGCCCCTCATTTTGTACATTAAGAGCAGTTCACTTGATTTTTGGGTTGTTTTCTTTTTAAACAGCTCCCTGCGTGCGGGAGGAGAAAGGACAGCCCAAAGTCAAGCCTAAGATGCTTGGAACTATAATCCAGCATTCCTCCTGGGTTTTTGTTTTGTTGTGTTTTGTTTTCTAGGCTACACCTGCTGTACTCAGGGACTTACTTCTGGTGGGCTTAGGGAACCATATATGGTGCCAGGAATCGAACCCAGCTGCATGCAGGGCAAGTGTTCTCCCTTCTGTACTGTCTCTTTGGCCCCAGCAGCCTCCTCCCAACTGTGGACACAGAGGTGCCTCCTAGGCCTCCCAGGACCCCCTCCCCACCCCCATCAATGTGGCTCCTGGGCACCACAGGGTTACGCCGAGCCCCTTCTTATTGACATTGTTCAGCTCATCAGGGCAAAGTCCTTAGGAGCATTCCCAGCGGCCAGACGAGCTGGAGCCAGCATCTGTAGTCAGGGAACAGGTGTGTCAGGGCGGGGCCCTGGGTGCAGGAGCAGCACAGGGGACTGAAGCCTCTAAGGCCACTGCCAAGAGGCCACTGCTGTTGACTGCCTGGGTGGCCACTCCCCGACTCAGCCTTGCTTCAGCACCTTCCCTCTCGGGGCCTTGACCTTGGATGTCCCCATGTGCTTCCCTTCCATCCCGAGAGACCCTAAGTCACACATTCCCCGCCCTGCTCAAACAGCAGTCCCCAGGGATTCTTTGGAGAAGCAGGAAGCAGGAGGCGCAGCCTGACCGGAGCATGAAACACGTAAAACGGTTTCTGCCAAGCCCTTCTTCTCCCGCCAGACTGTGAGCTGGGAGAGGCCAGGTAGGCAGTCAGGGTAGGACTCAGGACACACTCACACACATGCATGCACATATGCACATGCATGCACACAGAACACCCGTGTTTCTTCCTGCGTGTGGACTTCCCGTTTCAGCGCTGATGGCCCCACTTGCAAATTCTGGCCTTGAGACCTTGACTTGGGGCCGCTGGGGAAGGCACCCTCCCTTGGGGAATCCCCCATCGCCTGCAGTTTCATTCTTCTGCCCCCTCAGTGCCTCTGTGTGCCCCGGGGGCTCAACACAGTGGCTTGGAGAGGGGCATAGGGGTTGGCGCGCATGGAACTCAGATCAGACCCCACAGCTATAACTGGGAGCCCTATGGGAAACGAGTTGCTACCTTGCCTTGGCCTTTCTGCCTTCCAAATGCAAAAACCTTGCAAGCACCTGGAGAATGGATGGAACTCAGAACCCTGGGCCTCACCCCAGAGTCTCGTGTCCCCATAGTGCGGGGACAGCTTGAGGATACGCACTCTTGGAGACCCCTGCCATGTTGTTATGGGAGATAGCAGAGACAAGCAGATGGAAACACCTGCATCTCACCATCGGCCCATGCACACGGCCCATGTCGTGCCCTCTTTAAATTCAGACAGATGTAGAGTGAGAACTGAGCCCTGAGCCTGAATGCACCGTTTCCTAGTTCTGGGACCCTGGGAAAATTAGAATGTTTTTCTGGCATCAGTGTCATCATCTTCACAGGCCAGCCCTGGAGGTCACTTCGCAGGAAGCAACTGAGTATGCCAGCGATGCCTAACTGACGTCTTCTGAAGCAAATGCAGTGCAGTTTGAGAGGCAGAAGCTGCATGGTACAGCATGAATGACAGGGGAGGCAGTCCAACTCTCAAAGGCTCACAGAACACTGACTCCCACCCCCAGGAGCCCCCACCCCCACAGCAGGGACTAGGGAAATGTCAGTGAGTGAAGCCAGCCAGGTGGAGGGACAACAGGGAGTGTGGGGCCTGCAGTAAAGAGGTTGCCCTCGCGCCTTAGAGGGGACAGCTGCCATCTCTTGGGGGTGTCATAACCAGAGCAGCACCAGCCCCATGCCCTGGATGATCCTGAACGTGGCTGAAGTGAGGAGGAGGGTTAGCACTCCGTCACAGCCTCCCCCTGCTGACTGCACAGACAGGCAGCCCCTCGATGCAGGGAGGCCTGGGCTCAGGCGAGATTCCAACACACAGAGCCCAGTGGAGGGGTGGGGAGGAGGAGAAGGTCGGCGCCACAGGAGGCGGCAGAAATCATAAGGATCCAGACGGGTTTCTGGCTTGGGGGCATTTATTTCACATCCCTTCTGTCCAGGGTCGGGGGCCAAGGATGGGGGCAGGAGACCAGGCAGGGGATAGCAATAAATAACACGGACAGACAACGGCGCTCCTCTCCCGACGGATGAGGTTAAAGGACTTTAGAGGAGAGCCACTGGGTGGGGTGGGGTGGGGTGGGGTGGGGTGCAGGGCGGGGCACCTGGAGGGAGCGGGGCCAGGCCCCCAGACCCCAACCCCAGTCCTTTGGCGGCCCTGCGACTGTTGGGAAGCGGGAAGCCTGCAGCCAGAGGGGGCCAGTGAGGGTCCTGAGGGGGGCGGCCGTGCGGGCGGCCCCAGTGCCCTCACTTGACGCGGATCTCCGCGTACTCCGCCAGCTCCTCCGTCAGGGTGCAGCTGTCCTTGGTGGGCCGTTTCCCCAGGTCCGAGTGAGAGAAGCTCAGGTCGAGCTCTGGGGGCTCCCCCCGAATGCCCAGCAGCCTCCTTTCAGATCCAAGGCGCCTCTCGCTCTAGGAAGGGAACCAACCCTTTAGACAGGCCCGGGTCCCCCTGGGCAGAGGGGAAGGCTGGAGTGGCAGACACGCCCACCACTCCCAGGGGAGTCCCCCTTCTGTGGGAACCTCCTTTCTCATGGCCACTGTTCCCTCTCTGGGGGTCTTCACCCGGCCCACCCCTGCCCCCATGACACAACAGCTCTTGGTTGCTAAGCCTGAGCATCACCTACCAATTCAGTGTCTCCAGGGAGGCCTCCTCCACACAGGATTGGGGTGGGGGTCAGGGGGAACGTACCCGGTTCACCCATTAACTCCTTCCCAGACTACAGCCACCTGCTCAGAACCCCGCCTTTCCACAGCTTCTCAGTCCTCAGGAAATCCTTCCCCTGGGCGTGGTCTGGGGGTCCCCCTCTTCAAGCGGGGAGGTCCTGCAGTGTGGCTTGGCTGCCTGGCCAGGCTTTCACTCCATGCCCCCCCCTCCACAAGGGCCTTTGGACATGCACACAGGACAGAGGCCACAGACAGATGCCAGGGAACAGCAGGGGACGGTGCAGACAAGGCAGCTCAGACTCTGCAGGCCCAGCTGGACATGTGACAGGACACACACATGCATGCCCACCCCCCGGCCCTGGGAGGGCCCGGGGGCAGGTACACTGAGGCCCCAGAACCTACCTCCTGGGGCGCTCAATCCAGGGTAGAGACCGCTTTGGACTATTAGAGAAGGAAATGCGCTCACAGACGCGGGCAGGGAGACGGGGCCTTCCTGGGACCCCGGACCCCCATGCTCCTTCACGGCCTCAGCCTCAGCACCCCTCCCAGCCCTCCACACCTCCTCCCTCCCCTCTGTGACAACCCGGCCCGCGGGCCCCTCCCAGGCCCTCTGTGCCCCGCATGGGGACTCTCCTGCCAGCCTGGAGCCACAGGCCTCGGGCCCTCACCTCATACTTCTCCGGCGCCCCAGAGATGCGGTAGTCAGTGCTGAACAGGACGGGGGGGTTGTCCCCCGCCGAGAAGCTGGGGCTCTCTGTCACGTTCTTTCTGCAGGGCAGGACAGGTCAGCCCCTGCAGGACTCCCAGGCCCCCTCCGCCCTTCCTTCCTGCACCCCCAGTCCTCGGGGACCCCCGACACTTCTCCATGGCTCTCTACGGTGGCCTATGTGGGGCCCAGGCTGCTCAGGAGCCCCCATCCCACCCCGGCCCTCCCTGCCACGTGGCCAAGCGGGAGCCAGCTTAGAGCTCTGGAGACCCCCAGCCTGGCTTCTTGGGGTCCGTTTGCCCCTCCTGCAGCCAGCCACGGGGGAGTTGGTGGAGTCCTTCGCAGGATGCAGATGGATGTGTGTGCCAGAGACGGACAAGGGAGGCACAGCTTCGGGCCTGGCCTGGGAGCAGGTCTGTGCTGATGGCGGAGCTTCTGGAACCCACTGAGACTGATGCTTTAGCTGCATCTGAGGGAGGGCTGGGCTCCCCCATCTCCCGGCATGTGTGCAGGAGAGTTCCTGGGCGTCAGGAGGCCACCAAAGCCACAGGGGTGGGCAAGAGGCCATGGCTGGCGGCAAGTGCCCAGTGCCAGGTCCTGGCATGGGCTCCTGTGGCTTGGAACCCCTCTCCCCGCCCCGAGACCGGTCCAGAACAGAATCTATCCTCCCCACTCCCCTGCCCAGCCCTCAGCACGCCCCCAACCCCCACTGACTGATCCCCATCCATGGAGGCGCACTTGGCCAGGGGACCCACGGCTCACTCACTTTCGGCGCGTCTGGGTGATGTAGCAGACAATGGCAATGATGATGGCAAAAGCGACCACAGCTCCCACTGGTCCGATCTTGGCCCACATCAGGCGGTCTGAGGACAGAGAAGATCCAGGCCCCCTCAGGGCTGAGGACAGTGGCTGGGCTGCTTGGAGTCACCCAGAGGAAGGGCTGGTAAGGAGGGGAGGGGTGGGGGGTGCTGGGGCAGCCTCTCCCCCTCACCCCCCCCACCCTCACTCCCCACCCCCCGCCTCTGTACGGGGGAACTGGGGACCACGGGAGGCATCTCCTCACTCGCCAGCTGAGTGGCCCGTTCAGTGGCTGCTGGGCAGCGGTCAGCAGGGATCTGGGGGGGGGTCCCCGAAGCGGCCCCCTCCCCACTCACGGGCTCCCTGGAAGGGCAGCTCCAGGCTCTTGCTGCCGTAGAGGTTGCGGGAGGTGCAGATGACCCGGGGCGGGGCCTGCGCCTGTCCCCGCAGCGTGAGGACACTGGTGAGCAGGAGGCCGCTGCGCTCCGAGTACACGAACTCGCGCTCCGTCTCGTTCACCGTCACGTTGCGCGAGGGCAGCTCGAAGGCCACCGACGGCTCGGGGTTGGCTTTCACCACGCACAGGCACTGCACTGTGTCCCGGGCCGAAGCGCAGTGAGACTCCAGGAGGATCACGGGGGCAACTGCGGGGAGGAGAGCAGGACCCGGTGGGTGGGCGGGAGCCCACGGACAGGGCTGGCTGTAGGGCGGGGCTTGTAAGGGGAGGCGCTTGTGTGGGGGCGGGGATTGACCTGGACTGGGAGGGCAGGGCTTGGCTCTCTGGGGTCCCATGGGGGCCCCGGGAGTGACAGTAGCTATCTTAGAGAAGAGCGTTTTGCCCTTGGCACTGGCCTTTGGGATTCCACGAATCCTTTCACACATAAAGTCACACCACGGAGCATCCAGCAGGGACCTCATGTCCTTCCAATTGCACCCTGAGTGACTGGGAATAAAACTGAATTCTTTGCCTGGGTCTTCAAGGCCCTGCAGGGCCTTAACACTCTGTCCTCCTGCCTCCTTTCTCCGTGGTAATCCCCCTTCAGCCCACAGGCCTCCACTGTTCCCCCAGTTCAGGTTGCTTCTTCTCCCAGCGGGACATCACTCAGCCTGGTCACCAACACCCCCAGCAGCCACCTACGGGCTCACTCAGACCAGGGTTCTCTGACCACTTCTCTATCTGCCCTGTGCCCCCGGCTCCTCCCTGGGCTGCTCCAGGTTCACCTTCCCTCCATCCTGCAGATACTCCTGCTTCCTCGCCTTTGCATCCATCCCTGCCCTCCTCCTTATAGTCCCTGGGGTCAAGCCCCACCCCAGAGCGCCTTGGTTGAGCTTTGCTTTCTTCTGTAAATTAGCCTGATGTGTGGGCATAGTCCTGGGGTTGGGGAAAATGCTTTGCATGGGCTCCACACAGGTTCAAATCACCTGCGCTAACCCCCAGCACTGTCAAGGGTAGCCCTGATGCTCCCTCCAGCATCACTGGGGTGGTCCCTGGTCACCACAGGATCTGAGCAGTGCTGCACCCTCCGACCTTCCCACCAACCAATTGGTCCAAGAACTGCAAGTGGCCCCAGAGCACCCTGAGCAGCATGGGGAAGGCTTTACCAACCCCGCAGGTTGGGGTTTTCCCCTTCATTTTCCAAAATATGAACTAGAACACTGAACATTGCTTGTTTAAACTATTGTCTTTCTCTCTAAAAGATTCCTACACTCCCCTCTGTTCACTTAAATGGAACTATCATTCCCTTAGTTCTGACCCAGTCACCTAAACATGGGCAAAGATCTTTTTTTTTCTTTGTCCCTACCTTATCACTCCACCCCCATCCCCATTTTCAATTTCCTGCAAGAAAGAAGTGCAGGTGACAGGATGGGCCAGAGAGCCCCATAGCCAGAAGAACTTATGATAGAGTCTTCCCAATGGCCCCTCACATGGACATGTATGTAACGTTGAAAAGTGGACAGCCATGGGAGAGATAGCATGGAGAGTAAAGCACCAAGGACCACCAGGAATGACCCCTGAGCACAGAACCAGGAACAGCCACTGAGTATGACCGGGTGCGACCCCCCCAAAAAAATCTTAATATTAGACAACCACTATGTAGCTGTTAGAAAAGATGTAGTCATGAAATTTACATACAAGTGTACTACATGGAAAGTATCATGTTAAGCGAAATGAGTCAGAATGAGCGGGATAGACACAGAAAGATTGCATTCATCTGGGGAACATAAAGCAACAAAATGGGAGACTAACACCCAAGAGTGGTTGAGATTAGTATCAGGAATTTTGCTCCATGGCTTGGAGGCCAGCCACCCATGCTAGGGGAAAAGGGAGCTCAGATAGAGAAGGGAGCACCAAATAAAGGGTGTTGGGAGGATCCTTCCAGGATGGGAAAAGCATGCTGAAAGTAGAATATAGACAGAACATGATTGCCACTCAATGCCTCTTTTGCAAACCACAACACCCAAAAAGAGAGAGAGAACAAAAGGGAATGCCCTGCCACAGAGGCAGGGTGGGGTGGGGGGGTGGGGGTTGGGAGGGATACTGGCACCTGTGGTGGTGGAAAATGGGGCACTGATGGAGGGATGGGTACTTGATCGTTGTATAACTGAAACCCAAGCACAAAAATTTGTAAGTCTACAACTGTACCTCATGGTGTTTCACTAATAAAAATTTAAAAATAAATAAAAATTTTTAAAAATATTAGACATCCCATTGCAGACTTGTGCCATACCTGCTGCAGTGCATAAACGCACCTGCTATCAATATCTCATGACAAACCTGAACTTTATAAAGGCCTTTCGTTCAAGACCACCCACTGGGGCCATGATGACAGGGTTGCTCCTACATTCAGGAGAGCAAGGACATCCTGTCCACCTGTGCTCTGCATCTTCACATCCTCTGGAGGTGGGAGGGCCGAACCCTGACTCACATCAGACAAACCCAAGTCCCACCAGCATGGGGAATTTAGGGTGGGATCACTTTGGCTTGAATCCTAGCTTTGCCATTTCCTGATGGGTGACCCCAATCACCTTCTCTGGACCTTGGAACTTGAAATATGCATCTGGATTGATGGCTCCTAACTGGTCAGAAGCTCCAGAGACTGGCTGGTGCCTTCATTGTGCAGATATGGACCCTCCCACCCTTGGGTTTATGGTTAAAACTGTCAACTACCATTCCTGCAGAGGTTAGAACTGGATTACTATTCCAGCAGAGGGCGCACCCGAGCAAAGCGTCAGCTGCAGGAACACAGCTGACTCCGCCTGCAGGGAGGTCAAGGTGAGGGCCAGACTTAGGAGAACCATTAGCTATGGGAGCCCCAGACACCCTCCCTGTCTTCTCAGCTGTCTTTAGCGGTCAGTGCTGTTAGCATGCCCATCTTTCCGAGATGGGAGTTAAGGCACAGCAGCAAGGCGGATGTGCCCGAGACTGACTCAGCCTGAGGCTGGACAGCAGGAACTGAATATTCATTTTCCTCCTCTTAAGCTGGGGTGAAGAGCACCCCACAATCAGCAAAGTTTCCACGTGCAAAGAGTGCAAGCTATGCTCTCCCCCCATGCCCTACACACACACACACACACACACACACACACACACACACACGCATGCACACACACACGTGCTGCGAGTACTTCCGCTGAACCCCCAGGCCTGGCAGTTAAGACTGGAAAGCCTTCTCCAAGGGGACAGACTTGGAGGGAAGGGTGCCTGAGGGGTTCTGCCCAGAGGTTCGAAGCTGTACCCCCCAAAACCAAGAGCTGTGACTTGGTGAAGCTGAGGAACACAGCAGCTAGTGGTGGTAGTGGGGTGATAGGCAGGTCACTCTCTAAATGGGTTTCCAAAGATTCCAAATGAACTGAGTTCTGAGTGGCAGTTGGGGGGGCGGGGAGATTGGGAGCAGGGGTGGGGGGTGGTGTGCTGGAAGCTGGCTGGGATTGATGAGTTCTATTGTGGGGCAGATCTCTGTGTGCCCACAGCTACTCCCAAAGGAATCCTGTGTCCTTTGTGTCCCCCTCATCTGCTTGATGGTGTATTCTGAAGGAAATTCGCAGACGGCCCACTCCAGGCAGCGTAGATGTGGAACGAGCCACCAGGATTCGTCTCATCGAGCTGTGTGGCATCTCCTTTCTGGGTCTCTGTTCTCCCTGTCTAGCAACCAGAAGTGTAGCAGAACTTCCCCCACAGGGATGTCCCCCTACAGGGTGATATGAGTGGGTACCCATACAGATCTTCCAACATATCCAGGTCCCTAGCAGGACATCATGAGGAGAGATAGCATAGTCACTGCTTCAGTTCATGCAAAGGGCCTGTGGCCACCAGATCCAGAAATCCCCTTGGGTGAAAGTACATGCCAGGATACAAGGACCCAGTGTTCTCAAATAGGACTTTCCAAGCTATGAACTTAGCTCTCCTCCTTCCCTATCTCTGCTGATACAAAGCTGACCCTAGGCTGGGGTACAGAGTGCTTTCGCCCATCACCCACTGATGCCTCCACTGGGTAGGGGTGCCAGAGGGTCAGGTCCTGCTGGCCATTAGCGAGGACGGGGGTGGGAAGGACGAGTACTCACACTCCACTGACAGGTTGAAGGCGGTGGCTCTCTGGCCGTACTGGTTCTCGGCCACACACCAGTACTCCCCATCATCCTCGGGTGTGACGGCAGGCAGCTCCAGCTGCAGCTCGCTCTCGTAGATGATCGTGGCCAGGATCTGCTTCTCCTTGAAGATGGTGAGAATAGGGTCCGGGTTGCTCTGCGTGGAGCACAGAATGGAGACCGTCTCCCCCTCCACGGCCACCACTGTCCCGTTCACTGTGGGCTTCCAGGGGGCATCTGGGGAGCAGCACAGGGGCCGTGGTCAGACTAGGAGGTGTCTCTTCTGCCAGCCAGAAGACCCCAGGCCCCCAGTGTGTTTGCGGAACAAGGGTTCTGCAGTCCTGGGGCTTGCATCCCAACCCTGCCCATTCCAGGCTGTGTCTTAATCTCTCTGGGCCTCCATGTTCTTCTGTTTGTTTTGGGGCCACACCCAGCGATGCTCAGGGGTTACTGCTGACTTTGCACTCAGGAATCACTCCTGGAAGTGCTTAGAACCATATGGGGTGCCGGGAATCGAACCTGGGTTGGCCGTGTGCAAGGCAAGCACCCTACCCACTGTGCTGGGCCTCCGCGTTCTTATCTGGAAAATGGGTTTAATAATAATCCAATGTCATCATCCATGAGGACCTACTAAGGGGGGTGGGGGTGGACAATATTCTAGTTCCAATAAGGTAGATGAACTCTTGCCTACATGGTAGATACCACCGTTGGTTTTAAAATATACTTTTTTTTTTTAAATGGCAAGTTGGAGATAAGTGTTTTCGGGGAAAATTAAGTGGGTGAGGAATGGGGATTCTGAATGAAGGACTGAATAAATGACATCGTCATGGTTCTAGCTAAGAATCTGTTCTCATCAGCCACTGCTTCCTGGCGACAATGTACAAAGTGTGGACAGGGACTGAGGGAGGCACAGGCTGCCTTCCGCCCTCCCACTAAAATTATAATAGGGCCCTTTGTTGTCGGGTGCTGTCACCAGGTGGGGGAAGGAGGAGGAGGGAGTGTGTGGTTTTCTTTTCAGCAGACACTGTGAGAGGGGCGCCTGGCCCTGGAGTCCCCCCCTCCCTCCCTCCCTTCCGGGTCTCAACCAGGACCAAAGCTCCGCCCCCAAGTGAAACCGACCCCCCCCACACACACATAGACCGCCCCCCACACACACCACCCCAATCTCCGGGCTTCAGACCCCCTGCCAGGGCGGGACTCACACATGACGTTTAGGTCCACGGTGCGGTTGTCCTGGCCATAGGCGTTCTCTGCCAGGCAGGCGTACACACCGTCCTCCCCAGGGGTCACCTCGTCCAGCACCAGGATCAGGCTGTCGGTCACGGCCTCCCGGAGTACGGTGCCGTCCCGCATCCAGGTCAGCAGGGCCAGCGGGTTGCTGTCGGCCCCACACAGCAGGCTGACCTGGGAGCCCTCGATGGCCTCCACAGAGGAGTTCATCTCCACGATGATGGGGGGATCTGATGATGGGAGCATCAAGGCCAAGTTAGACCCACGAGCTGCAGGCTCCGCCCCTCCTCGGGCCCCGCCCAGAGCCCCGCCCCCATCGGGCCACGCCCCATCCTGACTCCGCCCCTAGCCCATCCCCCAGGCTCACACTTGACATCCAGGCTGGCGTAGCCCTCGAATTGCAGGGTGGCATTGAGGAAGGAGGCCTGGCAGCCCAGCCGGTGGCCATTGGCCTCTCTGGTGGGCACGAAGTGAAGAAGGGACACCTGCACCCAGGTGCCCTCGTCCTCGCGCAGCCTTCCCAGCACCGTGGGCTCCCCCAGCCCGTCGTGGCCCAGCCAGCTCAGTTCCGGCCGCAGCTCAGGGCAGTTGTCAGGGACCATGCAGCTGACCTCCACTTCCGTGCCTGCCACCACCTCGACCGGCACCACGATGTTGGGGGTGTCTATGTGCAACAGCGAGAAGGAGGCTGAGGAAGCGACACTGGACTTTGGGGCACCCCACTTAGTCTAATTCCACTCCTGGTACCCAGATTTCTCCCCACCCCTGACTCTAAAGTTCCCTTCTCTCCTCCTTTTTTTTTTTTATCTCTTCCAGAGCCCTCCATAGTCAGAATAGCCATGAGCACAGTGTGGAACTAGGCTGGTCCTTCCCACCACACTGCTAGGTGACAATATCATTTTGCTCATGAAATCACAGTTAACGCAGGCTAAAAATGAGATTCGACCCCTGGTCCTCTGACCTCATCACCTTGCTCTGGATATTACATTAAGATTCCATAAGTAATCTCTCTCCTACCCGGTTTTGCTATGGTTTTCCCTCAACCTGTGTGAGTGTGTGTATAAGAGTCTGTGTGCTTGTGATTTGATGTATGTGTGTGTATGTGAATGTGTAAATTTACTGTGTGTGACTACATGTGTATATATGGGTTTAAGTATGTGGAGTCCATACATTTATGTAAGTGCACACATGTAATTTGAGTGTATGTTTGTGAGTACATACATGCACGTGGTTTGAGACTATATGCATGAATATATGTGTGCATGTGAGCGTATGCATGCAATGAGAGTGCATATGTATGCGTATATGTGTATATATGACTTGAATGTGTATATGTGAGCACATGTGTATATGTAAGTGTGTGAGTACAGAGGTATGTATGTGAGTACATAGGTATATGTGAGTATGTGAAGTTTGAATGTATGTGATCTGAGTGTATGTGATTTGTGTGAATATGTGTATGAGTGTGTATGCGATTGGTTGTGTATGCATGAATACATGGATTCAATACATGTGATTGTGTGAATACAAGTGTGTATGCGAGTGCATGTGATTTGACTGTATATGTGTGAGTATATGATTTGCATATGTAAATATGAGTACATGTATGTATCTGTGTATGTGTGAGTACATGGGTGTATATGATTTGAGTGTATGCTTGTATGTGAATGCATATATGTGATCTAAATGCATGTGAATGTATATGTGACTTAAATATGTATATTAGAGTGTGTGTAAGTACATGCATGTAAGTGTGTATGTGATGTGACTGTGTATGTATGTGTGTGAGTGCAGGTGATCTGAGTGTGACGTGAGTGCGTGTGGGGCGTACATGTCTGACTGTACTTATGGGTCTCTTTCTGCATCAAGGCCTGCTCAAGCCCCTCACAAAGACTCAGTGCCACTGAGGGATCTGAGTCCCAGGCCTGAGAGTTCCTGGAAGTAGGCAGCAACCTTTCCTAATTGCCAAATCTAGAGCTGTATTGTATATGGCCTAAATTTAGAATCGATAAAGAAATAAATGACCAATGTTTAAGATCTAGGTGATTATACAACAACAACATACAGAACCCTGATTTCTCTTAAGAGTTCAGAATATTGCAAGACAAAGACCCTGCTTCCTCTCCAGCCGAGGTGGTGCCTGGTGCCAGGCTCCACTCAGCCCTTGCCAACTATTCTCTCCCTGAACCAGAAGCGCTGGGCTCATCCCTGTTTTCCAGAGCAGGAACCAATGCTCAGAGAAGTTAAATCTTTTTCCCAGAGTCACCAGTCAATAGGCATGCAGAGGACCTTACTCTTCCCCCCTGACACCACTGCCTTTCTGTCGACATTTCTAGAAGAGTAAGAGTAACGGTTGCCTCTGAAGGTAGCAGCAAGACTCTTTGGGGCCCAGCTTTGCTCGTGTCAGCTATCTGCTTGATCTGTGGGGGCACTGGGGTTCACCCTGCACTGTCACCCATGCCCACGACACCACCAGTCCCTGGAAGGGAGCTGGGGGAGCTCCCTACAGCCCTGCCTGCCCCGCCCGGCCCGCGCTCAGCTCGGAGAGACTCACTGATGATGTCCAGGACGCTGTGCTCCGAGAAGGTGTACTGGTTGTAACCCCCCAGGTCCCCGCGGAAGTAGTACTTGCCGCCCAGCTCGGGGCTGAGGTTGCTGAGCAGGAGGGTGCAGTTCCGCAGGCCCAGGTCCCCCAGGAGGCGGCTGCGACCCTGGAAACTCTCGTGGACAACTTGGGTGCGTGACTTGAAGACCACCGGGGGGTAGTTCTTGGGGTAGGGGCTGTTGAAGTACCAGACGCCGTGCACCACGGCCGGCCGCAGCTCATCCGGGAAATCAAAGCGGCAGGGGATTGACACACACGTCCCCTCGAAGGCTGAGATGGACGAGGGCATCCAGGCACCCCAGTGTCCCCCTCGAGAGGCTGTGGGCGAGCAGGACCACAGAGGCTGAGGGGACATCGCCTCCCCCAAACCACCCTGCACTCCCATCACTTCCCATTGATCTGGGTTTGGGGGTGGTCCCAGGAACCCGTAGAAACAGCCTGAACCTGCTCAGGGGCCAAGACCTCAGGGTTCCTGACACCCTCATCCATTACCTGAAATCATGATCCAAAACAGAGGCAGTGTCGTGAGGAATATCATTGTGGACAGTGAGTGAGTGACAGCTGAGAGGAGAGGGGCAGAGAAAAGGGGGTGTTTGTATTAAGGCTCCAGAAAGGGGTTAGATCAGGTGTTAGTTTCTGCTGCTAAGTTTGATCACTACAAACACGCCTATCAAGGGACTATGTGCTCACTCTGCATCCTTTGCTTGATCAATTCCTTTGTGCTTTCTGAAAAAAAAAAAAGTACAATTCTCCTCCTTTTAGAGCTGAGGTCCAGGTCTAGAGATGTGACTCAAGCAGGAGAACTCAGGCTTAGCCTGAGTGAGGTCCCAAGTTCCACCTCCAGCATGGCATGCTCCACTGAGGGTGATCCTGATGATGTCAGGACCTTGCCATGCCCAAGCATCAAATCATCAGTCTACACTGCCTACTGAGCACCCCTGCCCACCGAGCACCCCCAGGAGTGAGCTCGAGCCCTAGAACATTGCTAGATATGGCCTATGAAAATACATTAAAGGGTCGGAGAGATAGTACAGTGGGTAGGGCACTTGCCTTGCACGCAGTTGACCTGACTTAAATCCCTGGCACCCCATATGGTCCCCCAAGCAGAAGTGATTCCTGAGTGCAGAGCCAGGAGTAACCCCTGAGTACCATCAGGTGTGGCCCATCAACCAAAAAACATTAAAGTGAATAATGTCTAGGGCTGAAGAGAGGGTGTTTGCTTTGCTTATGGCTGGCACCCCAGTGTCCTCCTAAGCACTACCAGGAGTTATTCCTGAGCACTGAGCTCAGAGCCCTGAGCACTACTGGATGTGATCCTAAAGAAACAAAAATTTAAAAAAGAAAAGAAAAAGAAAAATGTTCTATAACTGCGACCCAGAGACATTAAGTGATTTGCCCAAGACCACATAGCTTGTAAGCTGATTGTTCCCATCACCAAAGTGGACCTATAGATCTCTAGAAAGAAAGGACAGTGCCAAGGCTAGACTGGAAACAGAAAGCAGGAGAAGCCAGGGGGAAGGAGAAGTAGGTACAGTGCCCCTTACCTGAGTATCCCTGAGTTGGGAATATCTTGTGGTCCCACCTAAAGCTGTTAGTCAGTCAACCTGGAACAAAAGTCACATAGCTAGGTACAAGGAGGTGGGGACATGAGCACCCCTGCTCCCCGCTTTCTGTATCTACTACTGTGGGTGAACACTACAGACACCATCTTGTTCTCCATTGAAAGCTGGCTGGGGTCTACTGAATTGTTATGAATGTTGTTCTTAGGGCTGGAGACATCATTCAGTGGGTTGGAGCACATGCTTTGCATTCAAGAGGCCTGCGCGCATGGTCCCCTGAGCATTGCTAGACATAGTTCCTCAACAAAAAAAGCAAAACTTTATTTTATTTTACTTTTTGGTGTTGGGAGCCACACTTGGCAGTGTTCGTGAGTTACTCCTGGATCTGCACTCAGGAATCATTCCTGGCAGGCTCGGGGAACCATAAGGGATGTCAGGAATCATACCTAGTTGCTTGTAAGGCAAATGCCCTTCTGCTGTTATTATCACTCTGACCCCATAAACAAACATTTTAAGATAAATTTTGACATCTGTAATAGATGTAGGTGAAACTAACTTTGGATTATCTCATTTACAAAAAAAGAAAAAAGAAAGAAAGGGGAAGAGGAAGGAAGGAAGGAAGGAAGGAAGGAAGGAAGGAAGGAAGGAAGATATTGTTAAAACTATAGTCAGTTTTTAATAACATTGTAAATTGTTTATGTTGCTTGTCTAGGAAAAAAGACATTATGTGTTATCATGATAAACTTTTTGATAACTAAGATTAAGAAACCTAATTATAATTTTTAAAAAGTTAAGTTTTATTTGCGTCCATGGAAGTTTTAATATTTCTCTTGATTTTGACACTGGTTAAATGGGTAATTAAGTATTATACCATACATACAGGTAAGGCTTTACACCTTTTAAGATAAGATATTGCAGTCTTAGAAGAGTTCGTTTTTGTTATTACCAAATAATTGTTATGGAGCAATAGCACAGCGGGTAGGGCGTTTGCCTTGCACGCAGCCAACATGGCTGACCCGAGTTCGATTCCTCCGCCCCTCTCGGAGAGCCCGGCAAGCTACCGAGAGTATTCGATATGCCAGACACAGTAACAACAAAGTCTCCAATGGAGACGTTACTGGGCCCGCTCGAGCAAATCGACGATCAACAGGAGGGCCTTTACCTTACCTTACCTTACCCAAATAATAATTTTGTTATTACCGCTTATGGAGACAGAAAAACATATATTTTAGACCAGTTTAATATAATGAAACTTTGTGAGAAATATTATCAGTTGGGAAATGTAAACTTATTTTATGTTTGGAGCTACACTTGGTGATACTCAGGGTTTACTTCTGGCTCTACACTCAGTAATCACTCTTGGCAGTGTTCTGGGACCATATGGAATGCTGAAGATCGAACCCAGGGCAGTTGCTTACAAGGCAAATGTCCTATCTTCTGTACTATCTCTCTGGCCCTGGAAATGTAACCTTAGTACATACATTAATATTAACATGAGTTTTTCTAAAAATATGTAAAATTCCGTAAGGTCCTCTATGTTCTGATCAATTGAGGGCATTTTTTCTGGAGTTCCAAAGAAAAACTTGTCAGCAGGAACTTTGATTATGATCATTTTATAATTTTTTACTGTTTTCAAATATTATTAGCTCTAGTACTTTGTGCTCACAGAGATTCATAAGAAAGGAGTTAGATAGTCTAGAATATAGATGTGTCATGAAACTAAATGAAATTAAGAATTACACAATTTCCAACCAGTGGAAAGCTAGACTCTTAATAAATCCTTACTTGACAAAAATTAAGAGTATAGTAAAGAAAAATAAAATAAAATTTTAAAAAAACCCTCAATAGAAGCCCTGAGCAGCAAGATAACATCAGTTGAGGAAAAGATCAGTAAATTGCAATATGATATGGAGGAAATCTCTGGAAAACAAGAGAATATGGGGAAAAATCTGAAAATAAATGAACAGCACACCAGAGAACTAAGGGATGAGTTCAAGAGGAACGATCTAAGAATCATCAGAACTTTTTTTTTATATTATTCTATTTATTTCTATTTTTTATTCCAAAGAAAAATTTAAGAAATAAATAAGTGGGACTGCATTAAACTGAAAAAGTGTTTGCTTTGTTAAGGAAATGAGGCTAGACACACTATCAATTGGAAGAAATTATTCACACATCATGCATTGGACAAAGGGCTAACCAAGGTATGTAAAACACTCGCTAAACTTAACAACAAATAATCGAAAGTGGGGCAATGTAATGGGATTAAAGGATACAGAAGCATATAAAAAAAGATAATGGCAAAATCTAGTATTTTCAGAGAACTTGTACGCTAGTACCTCGCTTGTGTTGTTTAACTCACCCATCTCATACTCAGAAAACCATTTTGTAAGATTATTCCCATTCTATAGGCAAGATAAGCGAGTTAAGTGAGGTAAGTATGCTCTGTGTTGCACTGCTAACGGTGTTTAATGAAGCCTGTCTAATTCTAGGGTCTACTTTTAGACACTAAGTATCCTTACTCAGAAAATTTTGTTGAGAATCATCAGGACTTTCGAAGAAGTTTACATATTTGATGAAGAATCACTAGCCAAAAAAAAAATCATACATAAGAATTTCCTAGATCTTGGGGCCAGAGAGATAGTATAGTGGGTAGGACTCTTATCTTGCATGCAGCAAACCAGGTTCAATTCCTAGCACCCTAAGCACTCATAGAAGTATATTCCTGAATGCAGAAGCAGGAGTAATCACTAAGCACTGCCAATTGTGTTCCAAAAACAGAAAGAAAAATAAATTTTTTTTCTGAGTTCTGAGAAGTGTGCAGGCACTCAAATCTAAGAGGCCTTAGGGGTCCCAGTGAATCAGGCACAAACAGAAAGAAATATTATAATTGAAATGACAAAAAACAAAGTCAGAGGTAGAATATTAAAACAGCAAGATGAAAGAAGAAACTAATACAAAGGGAAACTCGTAAGATTCACAGAAGATCTATCAAATGAGGCTCTATGAACCAGAAGAGAATAGATGGTTATATAAGGGGCTGGAGCGATAGCACAGTGGGTAGAGCATTTGCCTTGCACGCAGCCGACCCAGGTTCGATTCCTCCATCCCTCTCAGAGGCAAGCTACCAAGAGTATCCCGCCCTCACGGCAAAGCCTGGCAAGCTATCCATGACATATTCGATATGCCAAAAAACAGTAATAACAACAAGTCTCACAATGGAGACATTACTGATGCCCACTCCAGCAAATCGATGAACAACGGGAAGACAGTACGTCGGGGGGGGGGGGGGGGGGGCGAGGAGTCAGTGAAATAAACCCTTACTCAAGAATACTCTTTCCAGCTAAATTATCATTCAATTTAAGTTTTCAGGGCATGCTATCCCTTTGGGAATCCATAAATTTGAAATCAGTTGAAGAATCAAAGGAACTTCTTTAAAGGACAAGAAAAATTTCTTAGTACTTTTCCAACGAATATGGCATTTACTCATGGTACATAAGGTTGAGCTCAACTAGATTGAGAAAAGTCCATTTATTCCTAGCTAGCTAAGATTTCCATACTTTTAAAATAATGACTTAAAGTTTTATTTCTTTTTAATGTCCTTTCTAAGTCTACTCAGGTGATTCTTACATCTATAAAGATTTCTTCTTTTACTTATTAATCCAGATACTAAGCATCATCTATGCTATATGTTCTAACATTAAAACCAACATTAACTTTGTAAAATAAAATATAGTTTATACTTTTATAGACTTAGATATTCCTTTAATATTTTAACCTCTCCAGTCCTCACTCTTATTAAATTGTATATCTGTAGGGGTTATCTATTTCATGTAAATCTTAAAATACATTATATTTACCTATAACATACATTAAGTTTGTTATACTATTAAATTTTTTAATTTATCTACCTGTAAAAATTGATACCTAGATTTTGAAAAATTTTTATGCAAGTCACCACTGATTTACAATTTTGAGGGATTTCTGGAGTTTAGCTTTATATATTTATATGTGCATAGGTGTCACCACACCAAATAAACAGCCACAACAGAAAAGAGATCTTTCTCATATGTGGGACATAAAGAACTGTCATAAGAGAACAACACAGCCAAAGGCATCAGAACTAGAGATTTTTGTCAACATAACTGAGATCACTTCAGGGGTGGGGATAGTGGCTGGTAGGAGTCCTTGGGACATGGTGGCAAAAAGCAGACTCTCTGCTGGTGGGTGCGTGGTTGAAACGATGTATGCATGAAAAGTATGATTAACAATACTATAAACACTGTTATTTGAGGCTGGAGAGAGAAAACAGCACACAAAGCACTCACCTTGCACACAGGTGACCTGAGTTCAATTCCCAGCAACCCCTCTGGTTCCCTGAGCCCACCTGGAGTAATTACTGAGTGCAGAGCCAGGAGTAACCCCTTAGCATGCCAGGTGTAGCTCCCAAACAAAACAAAACCAAAACCAACAACAACAACAACAAACCACTGTAATTCAATTAAAATGGTAAAGAAAAATTGCTAACTTCAGAGGGAACCAGAGAAATAGTATACGGATGGAAGGTCATGCCTTGCACGCAGCTGACCCCAGATGGATTCCTGGTTCGTGGGCGTCTGATCATCAAATTCCTGCGGGCATCCCCCTTTTCCTCTGAATGATGCTTAACACCACTGCCACCAAAATAAAAATTACTAACAGTAGATTTAGATTTCTTACAGGAGAATTAATTGAGGGTGAATATAATTTTTTAAAAGACTTTTCGTTCGAAACAATGTTTTGGTTTTTTCAGACCCAAGAACTACTTTCCTTTTCTGAGACAGCTATGACTTCCAGCAACTTGGTAGAGCACATCTTTTTATGACACCATCAGAATGTAAAACCTTTTAGCACGTATTCTTATTTTCCCAGCAATGTGTTTACGTAAATTCTGGAATATCTATTCTCTCTGTCTTTGTGTGTGTGTGTGTGTGTGTGTGTGTGTGTTTGCGCATGTAATAAATAACTTGGAAAATAGGGGGTGTTACAAACACTGATTGGAATGTACACTACTACAGGAATTAAGACCAATCACGAAGCCAAAGAAGAGGAAAACACCAAATACCTTGCTCAGAGTATTCCGTCAAGCCTGTAACAGAAGTCTCTCAAAAGGGCAAAGAATGAGGCTGAAACAGTAGTACATCAGGCAGATATTTGCCTTGCACTAGGGCATCTAAGGTTCAATCCTCCCACCCCTTGTAATACCCCAAGTCCACCAGAAGTGACCCCTGAGCACAGAGCCTGGAATAAGCCCTGAGCACTTCCAGATGTGGAACAAAAACAAACCAAAAATCAAGGCAAAGAAAAGTTGCTCCTTTGAAAGTCCAGAAATCCCAGGACATTTTGGGAACCAAGAAAAGGGCAATTAACTCTAAATACAGATATTACAGATGACTCTTCAAAAAGGAGAGTGACCCTGAGAGGCCGTTTAAGAGCTTGATCTGAGTCTCTTTTTTGCTGTTCCCTTTGAAAGTTCCAGCTATACAGGTTTTAAAAGAATCAATATGGTTATCCCTGCACTTGATGTGCTAACGCAAAACAGCTGGCCAGATTCATCGGACTGGCATTATCTGGTGGAACAGGGGTTGAAGTTATGTTCATAAACTTAATTTTCAAACAGATTAATTGGATGGGCATTATCTGGTGGAACTGGGGGGAAGCGGAGAGAGAAAAATGTTTTAGTAAATTATCTTTTGGTGGACATTAGATTCGAGTCTCCCTAAACATTTTTGAAGCCTTTTACTTTTACCTGTGAGTTAGGATAAATTCTAAATTTTTCCAACATCTGGCAATGACTTTCTGAACTAATGCTCAGTTGTTTGTTTTCTGGATTTATGGGACTGAGGAACCGAAACTGACCTCTTTCTAAAACCATACAACACTGGGTAATGGAGAACTTGAGGTCAACTTCAGAATGATCTTCATAACAACATGCCTGGACAAAAGTCCACAAGACCATTGGCTGTAGGGATTCCAACTTACATAAAAGGCATTTCGAGATGAAATTAACGCCTTTGGCATGGACTGTCAAATAAACACAGCTTCGAACTGCAGCAAACTTGGCAGTGTTTGCAAGTGTCTGGGACTAGCTTACAAACCTACTGTCCTGGATACCAGCCATATTGGAAGGAATATTCAAGTTGGGTGTTGTGTTCCTAATTGTGTTCCTAATAGTTTTTCCCCTCTGGCCAGAGAGATAATACAGCAGGTAGGGTACTTGCCTTGTACACAGCCGACTGAAGTTAGAGTCCCAAGCACCACATATGAACTCCTAAGCCCTGCCAGGAGAGATCCCTGAGCACAGGGCCAGGAGTAAGCCTTGAGTAGTGCCACATGTGGCTCCCAAAACAGTCTCCCCGGTTTATCAAGGGTTCCGAACAATTCTAGTCTGCAATTTGTGTGCAGAAAAAAGACAATTGGAAAAATTGGGAAACCCCAAGCTAAAGAACTCACTCTTGTGCTGGATTTCCTACACCAGGGGACGAAATGTTATTTCTAACCCAGAGTAATTTCTATCACCACTTCCACTTCAAGTTCTCATGTTGCCTATTTTCAATAGGAAGTAGCCAGGAATAAGGAAAGTGGGTTGTTTGAGTGGACCAACTTCCACAGGAAGGGAAGGAGATACAGACAGTGAGGGGCCACAGTGAGCAGGCCCTAGAGACCCCACAGACAGGCCACTCACTCACTCCTCCCCTCTGCCTTTTCCCTAATGCCAAGAGCTGTTCCCATAACCTGTCAGTCACTGATGCGAGGAAAGAACAAACAACAGCTGCTCCAGCCCCAACGACCCACACACGTCTCCAAGGCTGACGTCACACAGCAGAACTGTCTTCAGTTTTACAGAGGACAGGTCCGTTATGTCAAAAGACATCTCAAACCTCTGCCCTCATGCACCCTACTCCCATGCCCCCTGCCTCTGCCCTTTTTTGCTTTTGCCTCCTGCTCTCACCAGCCCTTGATGAACCCCAAGTCCTAACCTGACCCTTGTCCCCAAGGCCTTGAGGACCACCCCCCCCAACTCTCGAGTTGCAGGTCCCTGAATAAAACCTGTTTTTCATACACCAACTCTTGCCTCTCCTGGGTCGGTTTGATGTGGCGAGAACTGGACTTTGGATTTGGCAGCCACGTGGGCTGTGGCCTGGCGTAAGGCTGCCCATGTGGTCTCTTGGATGTTTGGGGCTGTCCCACACAGTCCGGAGGCGACTCTGTGACTACACCTCCCCACCCCCAAGCTGAGACGGAGGGAGAAACAGGGAGTGGAAGAGCACTGGGTGGAGGAGACGGGGTGGGGGGAGGGGTGAGTGGGGTGTGGAGCAGATGTCCCCCTACAGTGGCCTGGGGGTGGCAGGCAGGGACCCAGCCCCATCAATGACCGAGCTTCACAGCATCGGCATTCCCGACATGCCGTGTGAATTCCTGCCGCCCTCTCCCACCCCACAGGCAGCCCCGCTGTCCCCACCCTGCACAGAGGCCAGAGTCGGTACAAAAGAGCCCTGTTCCCGCAGCGAGAGGGTGCCTCTTCCTGGGGGGCTTCCGGGCCAAGTGGGGTGACCAGAGCGTCCAGCCCTTTGGCTGGATGCTGAGTGGGGCCGGGAGGAGAAGGATGGGGAGAGTGAGTCCCCGGGCACCGGTGGCTCCGGGGTCAGCTCAAGGCCAGAGCCGAGTCACCCAAGCTGCTGCTTTCCCGGCCCGCACCACTCAGACCACTACAAACACACAGGGACGCATGCACGGCACAGACGCTCACAGTGCGGGTCTGAAATGTGAGCAGGGTGGCAACAGAGACTCACGCACCTCCAGGCCTGGGCGGAGTCCAAATCCCTGCACCACCGACATGCTGCCACAGAGTCACACCTGAGCCCCCCCCCTGTCTGCTCCATGCCTGGACAGACCTGGGCATGGCCTTCGGGAACATATGGCACACACACAGGTAAGTATACTTGTACATACACACACACACACACACACACACACACACATTCACGAATGCATTCACAGAAATGATGCACACACACATGTGCACACACACTCACAAACACAGATAGAATCCTGCGCCCTGGACAGGATGGACAGACACAGGGAGGACCAGGACAGACATGAGGCACCAAGGCAGAGACAGCCCCTGGGTCCCTGGGACTCTGAGAGGCCTCAAGCAGCTCATAGAGGCATCCGGGAGCCATGGTAGGAGAATGTCATGGGTCAGGGTGGGATTAGGATAAAACATATCTAGAAACTTTTCTGGTGAAGTGTAATGAAAGAAGAGTGAGAAATGACGATTGGGGTTAAGACTCCCCCAGGGGAGACAGGACACACACAGTCACTCACAGGCACACGCACACACACGTACACACTCACACACACACATGCACACACTTGCACGTGGGCACAGGCACATAAGTGCTCACACACATTTGCCCATGGGTTCATGCACATACTTGCTCATATGCATACACACACACACACACACACACACACGGGCACATGCATGCACACACACACACATGTGTGTGTGTGGCCCAGATGCTGGGCTTTGCTCACCCGTAGCACTGTCGAGTCCCCTCCCAGATGGCCAGATGTGGGTGTCTGGTTACTTGGGATGGGTGAGCTTGTGCCTCAACCCCAGACCACTTCCACTCACTCTGCACAACTAGGGAGCCCAGGGCAGCTGTCCCTGTGGAACTGCAGAGAAAGTGGTGCTGAGAAGGGCCCTTCCTTCTGTCCCTGCTCCCAGCGGAGCCTGCTTCCCTGCCTCATAGTCCTGCCCGCTTCCAAGGCACCCCTCAGCAGCTCTGCTCCACGTCCCAGTGGGGGCCGGCTCACCCTGAGTGACCCTCCATCACCCAGCCCGCCTGCCTCACACCTGCCTGGGTGGGGGCCTGCCTGGTCCTCTCCAGCCCTCACCCCTGCTCCCCCGCCTCTGCCCCGGTCCTCGCGCTGTGGTACTCACTCGGGAGCTCCTGTCCTGTGCCCTCTGCTCCACCCGGCACAGTCCCCTGGATGCCCAGGGTCTAGGCCCCCACTGGCCGGCCCCTCCCCTGCCCCTGGGTGCCAGGGGCCGCCTGCCTCCAGGGCCCAGCTCCTCCCTGCCCCCGGGGGAGGGGGCACAAAGGGGCCCTTGTCATCACGGAGCTACTAGGCAGCCTGACGCCCGGGTTCTACTAGCTCCTTCCTGGAGGGGCTGGGGTGCTGCCACACGAGCACCCCCTTCTTCCTCATCCCGCACCCTGGTTCTGGGTTCCGGCTGAGGGGGTCCTAACGCCTCTGCATGTTCTCACGCCCAGAACAGAGGCATTGTCCTGGCTACTCGGGCGGTTCGCTTGGAAGCGATGATGCGCTATATAACCTCAGCCCCCAGAGGCCAGGAGAGGCCACGGGGGAGGGACACACCTGCCCACTCCTGCCTCCGGTGTCACCTCCAGCCTCTCCAGACGCCCCACCATGCTTGGTGCCCGCATCCTGCCCTGTTTCCTGAGCCCTCCTCGCCCTCAGAAATGCTTGGAGCAATGAGAAGAACTTGACCTCCTGGCTTTGCCTGCTCCTTCCCGCACACCCCTCACCCTTGCCCAGCATTCTTCAACAGGGAGGCAGAGGGGCAAAGGGGGTGGCCCAGACACCCTCCCAGTATCTCTGCACATGCGCCTTCTTCCAGGAAGCCTCCTAGTCTGCTGTCCCTAACCCTGCTGCCTCCTAGCCCTTCTGCACATCCTCAGAAGCTGCCCTGCCCTCTTGCCCCCAAATGTCTGGGTCCTCTCAGCCCTCTCCCCCTTGGGATCCTGCACCTTTGCCGACCTGCGTCTCAGGAGCTGCCTCCCCACCCTCACAGAGCCCGCCGTCTGTCTGTCTGTCTGATCACTCTCCAACAGGCGAGCCTGTGTGTAATCAGCTGGGTGCCTCCTCAGAGCGTCCACTCCGCAGTGACACCCCCCCCCCCCTTGCCGTCACCTTGGCTCCGCCCATCAGTCATAACCTTTCTATGGGGGGGGGTCAGTATGGGGTTTTGACCTGAAGCTATTTCAATCACTTGGGCCTCCTGCATGGGGGAGGGCGATCCCGGGCAAATGAGTGGGGCAAGAGTGAGCAGGGAATCCCTGGGTGGGACCCCCAGTGAGGAGCGGAGTGTGTGGGAGCGGGAGAGTAGTGCCACCCCTTTCCTGGTCTTCATGATGTCAGCCACTGCCCGTGCCTTTCCCAGCCAGGGACAAAGACGCATTGAGAGCTGGGTGGGGCTTGGACGCCTGGTGCCTGGACCTGGGCGGGAGGGGTGAGGGGACTGAGGGGAGTGTGTGGACACTGATATCTTGGGGTGCTCCAGTAGCTGTCTTCTCCGTTGATGCCCGCCCGCTTGGGCAAGGTACTTCTGCAGTGTCCGGGATCGTGTCTTGGCTGGGGGTGTGCTAGAGGCTGGGCTTGGGGGACAGATGCACAGTGCTCCCCCGCCCCATGCCCTCAAAGGCATGATCCCTGAAATACAAAATCTCAGGGTCACGACTAGGAACGAAGTCTGTCTAAGGGGTTGGGGAGTGGGATGCTCAGACCTGGATCAAAATCAGGGCACGAGGCAAGAATGTCAGCTCAGCAACGGCTCCCCGTAACCCCACACATGGGGCCTCACAGATAGTCTGGGGGTACGGAGATGGCTCTGATGGATGGGGCATATGCTTGTGCATGGGAGCTCAGAGCTGGATCCCTGGCACCATCAGAAGGGACCCCTGAACCCCAAGAACCAAACCGGGCCCCTTGTTGTCCTGTGAGTGAGGGAGGCAGGGTGAGTCTGGGGGGTCAGGATGGGTGCAGGCCTTGACCCTGAGCCTAGAGCCAGCTGTCTTCATGGTTCCCTGCCTCTTCTGTGACTGCACCCAAAGAGCCCCTTTTAGAAATGATGTTGGTCGCAGTGGGCAAGTGCCAGCCCAGTCGCCTCATCTGAATGTGGTTCTCCCTTCAAAGACGGAGTGGGTGAGGAGAAAGGGCTCATCTCTCATTGCAGTCCCTCTCAGAAGAAGTTCCAGTCCTCATGTGGAATATCTTGATATGTTGGCGATTCACCCCACTTCATTAAAAGCATTAGGCAGACCAAGCACAACTCATCAGCTGAAGAGGTAGCGCAGAGGTTAAGGCTCCTGCCTCCCATGCAGCTGTGGTTGAGACTCTGGTTCAAATCCCAGCTCTGCTGATGGTCTCCCAGCACCGCCAGGCATAGCCCCTGAGCATAGAGACAGCTGTGGGCCCTGAGTACCACTCCAGGTGGCCAAACAAAACAAACAACAAGCAAAACTCCTTTGGGGGCAGAATCAAACTATGGATCCCTTCTTTATATTAAAAAACAAGAAAAGAAAAAGAAAAAATTAAATTTAGTTAAATCATTTAATTTTTATTTAGATTCTGTGGTTTATGGTTTCTAATTCACATGGTTTCAACACCTGAGGTCGGAGCAACCGTTTAGAGTGCTTGCCTTAATCATGGCGAACCAGGATTCAATTCCTGGCATCCCATATGGTCCTCCAAGCACTGCTGGGAGTGATACCTGAGCTCAGAGCCAGGAGTAAGCCCTGAGCATCACCAGTAGTGTCTCCCAACCCAGAAAATAAAAATAAGTAAGTACAAAATGCCAACACCTCTCTTCAACGCAGTGGCTGAGGGGTCCAACCAGGAGATATCTGCTGGCCCTGGCTCAACAGGCAGCTTACCACCAAGGGGTCTCTAAGTGTGGTCCCCAACTCAGCAGCAGCTTCCTCACCTGAGCCAGCTGGCCCAGCCCACACCCGCCAAGTGGGTACCCTAAAGCCCCTCTCCCCCAGGCCCTCTCACAGCTCTGCAGGCTCTGGAGAGAGGCCTCTAGACTGAGCCAAAGGTCTTGTCAGAGGGCAGACAAGCCCCGGGTGCGCTGAAATGTACTCATTAGCAGTTCTAGGCTTCCCGCCACCCAGCTTTAGGGGTGGACCCCAGAGACCTCCCCTATCCCTTAATACAAATCCTTAACCCCGAGGGGGCATTTTACTGTTTCCAAAGCTGTTTCACATTTAACTTAGTCCCCACAGGCCCAGGGCAACACAACCTCCTGGAAGCTGAGTGCTGAGAAGCTGCCCCCCTGCGTGGTTCTGGGGTGGGCTTCCACATCTGGACAAGATGGCTTGGATCCCAAAGCCAGCGGCAGGCCCAGGCCCCTTCCCCTTCCTCTCTCTGCTGCTGGGATCTCCAGAGCACCTCTCTGGGCAGGGGATCCTCGTGTTTAGAAGGGAAAGGGGTGTAGGATGCATTGATCTGGCCTCTGCTTATGTTTTGTTTGGCACACAGAATGTTGATTTAAAATATCAAATTCCTTTCATTGACTGCCAGGATTTTGAAAAAGCAGGGGATTTCACATAAAAATCAGAACTTTTCTTCTCTTGAAAAGAAACTTGGGCTGGAGTTATAGTATAAGGAACCTACTTTGGATATGGCAGACCCAAGTTTAATCCCCAGCATCCCATATGGTATCCTGAGCATGATCCTTAAGTGAAGAGCCAGGAGTAACCACTGAACATTGCCAGGTGTGGCTCAAACACCACCCCCCAAAAAGAAAAGAAATTCTAGTTGCATTTGGCACAGTGGCCATCTCTGGGACCCAAGCCCTGTCCCTTCCCTGTTGAATGGCAACATGGAGGCCCATTGATCAAGATACTTCATGGACTAGTGCTGATGTTTCCTTGTGGGTTAAGACAGTGAAGGGGCCAGGAAGATGGTTCAGTGGTCAGGGTGTATAGACACAATGATCTGAGTTGGAGTCAGGACATTGCGACTCCACCCACTCACCACCCCTAAACTGAACACTGCTGATATTGCAGTGGGGACCAGCATCACTGAACCAGAACAACACTGCATCTCCCTATCCTAGCTTTGAATAGTCCAGTCCAGTGGACTTGAGACAGGACTGGCTCCTGAGGCTCTGAGTACTGCTTGGGAACCTTCTAGCAAAGAACACAGTGAAATGCATCTTGTACCTGTTTCTGTCTGGTAAGTTTTTGTTGGTTTTGGTTGGGGGTGGGGAGGTGGTGTTGGGACCATACCTGGCTCTGCTCCTGGAGGGGTTCAGGGGACCACATGAGGCGCCTGGGATTGAATCTAGGTTGGCCACGTGCAAGGCAAGCACCCTACCTGCTGTAGTATCTCTCCAGCCCTCTATCAGGCAAGTTGAGGGGCTACCCAGAAAGGGAGGGCACAAACCCCTGGTGGAGGCGAGAAGGACTCTCCCAGTGACCTCAGGCTCTATGGTTGTTCTCCCTGCACGAATACATCGCCAAAACTTCCCTGTATCCAGACACTCCCTCGGGGAGCTCCTGAAACACCAGTGTTGGTCTCAAGACCCCCTTTCTACTCTGCAAAATTACCCAGGATTCCGAAGAGCTTTTGCTTAAGTGGCTTACTGATGTCTACAGTTGCTTCATGTGTTATAATTGAACCCCAGAGCAACCCAGAGCAGAAGTCTTGGCCTAGGTGATGCAGGGTCAGGACACCATAACAATCAGGATGCAGAGGGATTTCGGGAAAACTCCACTCCAGAGGAATCAAGACCAAATGGAACGAACTCAACCAAGCAGTTTCTAACTAAGTGGGGTCCCGGGGAAGAGTCTCACTTTAGGAACCTTCCAGGCCATTGAGCCTGGGAGCCCAATTTTCAGAAGACTTCAAGGGAAGGCAACTCACATAGCCTTCAGCCCTTGACGCAACAAATCATCTCGGTCTTTCAAAGTGGGGTGACCAGGAGGAAGAAGAGATATTTCCTTGACCAAGTCCTCATGCACCCTCCTCTCTGCCTTGTCATGTGTGTGCCCTGTGGCCCTCCTCTACTACCACCCCGCCCCCCCCGCCCGCACACACACACACACACACACACACACACACACACACACACACAGAGTTCTGGTGCTCATGACACACAGGAGAAGCAGACACTGGTTGGAAAAGACAGACAGACATTTTATTTGGAGACATTCATGGAGCTGGAGAGCAGTGGACTGAAACGAGGTACACTGGGGCATGGAGGGTGCTGGTCCCTAAGACCTGCAGCAGAACCCACAGGTTTTGCCGCAGCAGTTGCAGCAGAACATGCAGATGGGAAAGTGGGCGTCCCGCTTCCAGAGTCTCCGCTCCACCGGCTGGGGGAAGAAAGGGAGCAGGAGTGAGTGGCCGGCATGGGAGGACTGGGCAGGGCTCCCAGGGGCTCTCGGAGGACTTACCTTCTTGTCTGTCTGGCTTGTGGCTGCCACGGTACTCGGCCTCTGCAATTCTGTGTGCTGACTTGCCTGCCAGGCAAAGCAGCAGAGTGAGCAGCAGGGCTCTCCACCCACTGACCACTCCCCCCCCTTACTCTGGCCGTTTCTCACCTTCACACAGGCAGTTCTCCTGCCCACAGACACCTCCCAGCTGAACCGCCCTCCACCCACTCCCCCACCCCAGCAACTTCTTCACTGGTCCCAGGCTGTCCCAAGCCGGCCTCCACAGTACTTAGGGAGACACAGATTTTTCCCAGGGGCAGCGCTGGGACTGGAGGGAATCTGTGCTCACATTCCTCACGAGCCCGGCCCGTCCATCTCATCCCCAGGGACCCCCGGCACTCACTAAAACCCTAAACACTCCAGAGGAATGCACTGTCCTTCTCTCCTCCAAGGTCAAACTCCTTTGATAGTGTCTTTTCACAAAACTCTCCTGCCAGTCCTGACCCCCAAACTGGAGGACCTCCCCCCGAAACGCACACACACATAGCCGGCAACCATTCTACGACCCTCTCTAGAATCCTGAATAACAGTCACCTGTCCTGACTTTTGATTTATATTTGACTTGTTCATCGTGGATGTGAACTGCCCCAGAGCAGAAGACTCGCTCACCTGGTTCATGCCGGGTCCCCAAGGCGCAGGACACGGCGAGCATGGAATCTGTTGAGGAACCCCTAGTGCCTGCCCCTTCGGGGCCTCATCTATTCTTTAAGCAGCTACCCGTCCCCTGCCCAGTGCTAAGGGGCCCCGAGGGTTCTGCGCAGGGTCTGAGTCCCCAGAAGCGGGTCTCACCTGTTGTCGGAGTGTGGAGGTGCTGGCCAGGCTGGTCAGGAGGAGTAACAGGAGGCAGATGGCCTGGGCTTGTGCGTTTCGGACCATCGTGTCTGTGCGTCTGGCTGGCAGGTGGAATCCTGATGTCTTGGGCTCCGTTTTTGGCGGCTTTTATGGGGCCTGCTGGGGGCGGAGGGGGTGCTGGGCCCCCTCCCCTTGGTCGTAACTCATTTCCAAGAAGTTGGTGGCGCCAAAAAGGCGGGCGAGATAAGCGGGAACAGAGCGGCAGCAGGGAACAGGGTTGTGTCACAGCAACCAGCAGAGGTGTGTCCAGGGGGTGGGGCTGCCACCTGGGGGACTTTCCCTGATCCGCCTTCACCCGCTGACCTCACGCCAAAGCTCTTTGGCCGCAGGAGTTGGCACCCGAGTGTTTTCCCTCAGAGGCTCTGACTGAAGCCCAGGGTCTCGGGGACCCCCTGCATGCCTGTCACAGTTGGGGTTCCCTTCACACACACTCACACACAGACACAGACACACACACAGACACACACAGACACACACACACACATACACAGACATAGACACACATACACAGACACACAGACACACACACACAGACACACACACACACACACACACAGGCGCTGGCAGGGAGAGGGGACCCCCGACAGCTTGTCAGCAAGATCTGCAGCTTTTTTGGGGTTGAGGGGGTTGCAGGATACAGAACTTAAGAGGTGGTCCCAGCCTCTGACCAAAGCCCATATGTCCACCCCGCAGATACTAGCTCATGACGGCCCCCCCCCCCTTGAGGTGACCACCTGCCCACCTGCCCCTCTGGGCTTTGTATTCAGGGGCCCCTGCTGTGCTTTCACCCCCGCCCCCCGCCGACCACCCCCCACCCTGCCCCAACATGCCCTCCTGTGACCAGACCTCAACAGACGGGGGGCTGGGGAGGAGGCAGGATTGGGGACCTAGACAATGCCAGGATCTGACCTTGAGCAGGTTCTGCTCATCACTAGGCTACATGGCCTCCCCCACAACACCGGGGTGCAGTGTGGTGGGAGGCTGGCCACTCACTGGCTTTTCCAACTGGCAGCTCCAGGAAGCAGAGGGCACATTATGCTCCCTGGGACGACTGTCCCCGTGGGTGCTAGAGCCATGGTCACCCCTACACTGCAACAAGTGATGAGGTCAATCCTGCACCTCTCAATACCAGTGCAGGGGGGAAACAGAGGGGAGGTACCTGGTGTAACCAGCACGGCCTTGACTGGACACAGGGCTTTGGCCATCTCTTCTTGGGCTTACTATAGGGCTAGCTGGAGCTGAACACCAGCCAGGACCTGGGGGCTGGGGCCCTGTCACTAACACATCCTGCCCTCCTACACTCTGCCAAGGCATATTCTAAACCAAAGCTGGGGGACCTTAGAAGGAGGCTGGTTTGTTGACCCCTACTACCACCTCCACACTGATGTCTACTAAACTCACCCTATTGGGGGCTGGCTGGGAGAGGGGCAGGCTCCAGGCTCTGAGCTGGTTTGGGGGCTGGCCGGGAGAGGGGACAGGCTCTGAGTCTACTGGGGGTAACCGTGGAAGAGGCAGCGGGGACAGGCTCTGAGCTGGTCTGGGGGCTGGCTGGGAGAGCGGGCAGGCCTGAGTCCCTTGGGGTAACAGCTGAGAAAGGCATTTCAGGCTGAGCCCCTCAGAGGCCTTTACGGCAGGTGTTGGGGAAGAATTCAGAAAAGGGACCCTATAGGCTTGGATCCTTAGAGCAGAGATGGGGTGGGGGGAAGGAGGTGAGGGCTGTGTGCCACCCAGCCCCCACAGACAGCAGCATCCCCCAGTACCGCCAGCATCGGCATCGCTGCATCTCGGCTCAGGCCAGGTTGCGTCATCCGCCACCAGGGTCAGGGGTCACGGCACAGGCGCCGGAGCCGCGGTGCATGGCGACAGGCTGCCGGGCCAACCCTGGCTTTCTGGCCATCTGCCTTCCCTGGGGGTGGGGGGCTCAAGGCCAGGCCCCACCATTGGCTGGGGCCGAGGGGAGGGCTTTGGGCCTGAAGGGCAGGGCCCAGAGCCAGGCCTGTTTGTAAGAGCCGGTGACATGGGAGACCCCAGCCTCTCCTCCCAAAACACGGGACATGGCCTTGATCCCGGTGCCCCAACCCCCACCCACGGCCGCACACCTGAGGCCTCCCAGAGGAACCTTATCCCTTCACCCCCCCATCCCTGCCACTAGCCCAGGCCTTGGGCATGGGCAGATGGGACAGGGGGGCAGGGGCCCAGCAGTGCTGCCCCCAGGTATCCCCGAGACCACCCACCTCCCCGAGATGGACAGACACAGGGACAAGGCGGGGCCACACAGGGCCAGTTTATTGCAGTTAAATACCTCTCTCTCTCTCTCTCTCTCTCTCTCTCTTTCTCTTTTTTTTTTGTCCATTTTTTCCATAAAGAAAATTAAAACACACACACCCAGGTGGGAGCAGGGATCCAGAAACAGAGAGGGTGGGGCGGGGCATGGCCTCCCTGCTTAGGGCCAGGCACCGGGCACCCCCAGCCTCCCTCTCCTTCCCGTGAGCACCCCGTTTTGTCTCAGTCCTGCTGCTGGCTGTAGGGGCCTCCTCGCTCCGCCCTCAGCCTCCAGGGCGAGACCTTGTTGGGGTGGGGTGGGGGGGGGCAGGAGACAGACAGACAGACAGACAGACGGGGAAGGGCAGGAGATCGCTTCCAAGTTGCAGAGAACAGTGGGCGCGTATCCACAGAAATGCATTATGTCTCCCCGTGTTTTTTGTTAAAAATCTACTATAAAAAAACGCAGCTGGGGGAGGGGCATCTGCCCCTCGCTGTGCTAAGGGCTGGGGGTAGGGTGGGTTGGGGTGGGTGGGGGCTGGGGGCGGCAGGCGGGGGGCGCGGGGGCGGCCGTCACTGCCGGGCGCTCTCGCCCACCAGCTCCAGGTTGTGCTGCTGCAGCTGGGCGCGGAGCACGGCGTTCTCGTTCTTCAGCTCCTCAATCTGGCGGGGACAAGAGAGACAGGCAGCCAGAGGCTGGCTCCTGCTTTGGGCAGGGGCGGAGGGGGGCTCCCGGGACCCCAGCCGGCTCCCAGCCCAGGACGCACCTGTTGCCTGAGGAGCTCGTTGTCCATCTGCAGCCGCTCGGCCTCCTTGAAGGTCTCCTGCATGCGCTGGTTGGTCTGGCGCAGCTCCCGGATGTAGTCGCAGGCTTTGGACAGGATCCCTCCTTTACTCTGCACGGGGGCGGGCGAGGGGGGGGGAACCTCAGCCCCAGGCCTGCTGCGGGGGCTCGGGGACACTGAGCTGCGGGGCGGGGTAGGGCGTGGGGATGGCAGGGCACTCACCGCTCCCGTCTTGCTATTGTCTGCATTACAGTCTGGAATGATTTTTGAAAGTTGGACAATCCAGTTGTTGATCTTGTCCCTCCGCCGTCGCTCCACTGCAGGGGGGTGGGGGGTGGGGAGTTTACAAGAGCCGTGGCTGCATCTCCCACCCTTCCTGCCACGGTGGCCCCACCAAGGCCGTGGCATTCACCAGTGCGGGGTGCCAGGCCCCAGCCCTGGGCACAGCACTTCTCTGCTGGCAAACATGAACGACCCGAGAAAACCACACACTCCCGCGGGCAGAAACGACCGCCGGGGACAGCGGGGTCCTCTGGGCCTGTCACAATCTGAGCCAAGTGTCAGCAACAGGTGGCATCACCTGAAAACAGGAGCCGTGGCTCCTGGGGGGTGGGAGGTGGTCATGAGGATGCCCAGTGCCCTTCAGAGACCCTGGGTGCCACTCTGCTCCACTGAGCCCCTACATCTGGTATCCCCGGCACTTGAGACCCAGGACCATTCTCCACCGTTAAACTCACTCTGACCATGTCTCACTCCTGCTTAAAATCTCCCCAAGACGTCGCTGGGAAAATTGGAAATCATGGTGGGGGAAGGTGCAACGGTGATGAGTTGGTGTTGGAATACTGAATGGAACTAATTTTGAACAACTTCTGATTTAAAAACAAAACAAAACAAAAAAACCAAGAACACCCAGGCCCACCAGGAGGTGCTACATGTGTGGACTGACCCTTCCTGGGGGAAGAGGTCTGGCCAGCAGCTGCAGCCATGGACACCTCCACGCGCCTTCAGTTAAGAGGCGCGACTTGGGGTTTCTGACTCACACCACCAGGCCCTCACTTGGCGGCGGCTCCCCCAGACCCGGCGGACACCAGCCTTCTTCCCCTTGACTTCTCATGGGGCCACACCACACCTGGGGGCCAAGGGCTCCGTGACGAGGGCAAATGAAGTGAAAGCTGGACACTTCCCGCCTCGCTGAGCAAACCAGCCCCGAGAAGCCCAGCTGCTCCCCCGACTGTCCCAAGCGCCCTGCCGCCCCCCCCCCCCCCACCACCCGGGAGAGCGGAGGGAAAACACAGGTGGTATGTGTCTGGGAGGCGGCCTGGGCCATGAGGGGACTTGGGAGCTGGCGCTGGGTGAGCGGGCAGGGGCCAGCCAGAAGCAGCTCCTGCCTCCCCACCCCCTCCCTCAGGACCCAGCACTGCCCCTGGCCTCGGCTGTTCCCGCCGCAGCAAGCCCCACCACCTGCTCCCTGCACGCGGCTTCATCAGCCCTCCGGCACCTTCCGGCACCCACACTTGCACCACTTCCTTCTACACACTCTCCAACCCCTGCGCCCCCAACTCAACACCACGCTAACAAGGGTGTGCAACGTGGAGCCTGCCTGACGCCCAGGCCCGAGTCCCTGTGAACTGTGGGGGCACAAGCAGCCGCAGAGCCCCGCGTGCAGTCCAGGCCTGGTGCCCTGCACTGCCCAGCTCACTGTCCAGGGCTAAGGCTACAGCTGGGCCAGGCTCATGTCACATGCACTCTTCGCTGCCACCACCAGGGGGCAAAGTATATGTGTTCTGGGGGGGGGGGGGGAGGGCGGGGGTGCTTGTCCTCAGTGCCACACCCGGTGATCCCATCTCTGCTGGGGGTGCGGGGTCACCTGGGAACCGCACCCCGAAGGACAGAGATGGCCAACTGGCAGAGAAGCTCTGTTTGTGCAGTTTCTCCTGCTCCACTCCAAGGCTGCCAACCGTCGGCCACACCGACACTGGGTGGTTATCCTGGACCTGGAGGGGCTGGGGGCCGCCAGCTGGAAAACACATGTCTACAGGGAGCTGGGGGCGAGCTGGGTCAGGGAAGTTCTCTCCCAAAGAGAGGGGGCATTCTGGTTGGTGTCTGAAGGGAGAGCAATCAGGCATAGAGGTGTTCAGATGATGGGGGTGGGGGGTGGGTATGAGGAAGTGGGAGGACAGGAAGGTCTCTGAAGACCCGGCCCACCTCCTCTCTAGGGACAAGTCTGGAGACTTCTGCTAAGCAGCACCCTGCAGTAAGCTGGTCTGGGAAGACAGTTCTGGAACATCTGAAATGCAAGGGACTCCCTCCCCGTCCCCCGCCCCCCCCAAGCCCCAGACCATTTGCAACACAGTTTGGAAGCCAGAGCTGCCAGGACTGAAGGGAGAAATAAACAAAATCACAAATCTAGTCAGAGACACAAGCATCCGGGTTCTGGAAGACGAGGAGCAAAGACCACGTGGTGGCCAGTCTGGCGGCCTCAGGGCGGCGGAGGCGGTGACGCCTCCAGCACGGGCAGAGACCCGTCACCCCAAGTGTGTGTGGCACCCCTCCCAGGAGAGACCCCAGCCCAGGCCTTTGTCTCCCTAAAGACCTGAGAATGGAAATGATGCGCAAGCTCTCCGGTCGCTAGCCGGTACGACGACCGTTCACGAAAAGATACCAAATGGCCCGACAAATATTTGGAAATTAGGCAACGTACTTCTAAATAACCCATGAGTCAGTGAAGAAATCACAAGGAAAATAATTGGAAAATATTTTGATCCCAATGCCATGAGATCATATATCCAAACGGGGCGCAGCTAAGGAAAAGGCAGCGTCCGAGTGAAACTCTCTTCTTGCCTAAGGGGAGAAAAAAGGGCCAGAACATTGGGGGGGGGAACCCCCCGCAAATTCCACCTGAAGCAAGCCAAAAGGCAGAGTGAACAGACATGAAGTGGGGGACCAGTGGAGACGGCGATTCCATCTGGCTCCTACGGTCTAGGTTCCATGTATGGATCTGGGCTGCTACTCTCCCAGGGATTCTGGCAACAGCAAACCCCACTCCTGACCCAGCACCCCCAGGCTGGCTGTGGGGCACCCTTCAGGTGGCCAGACTTTCTGATCCATCCAGCATCCCTGCCCCTGCAGGCAGCTGGGCTGTCCCTCAGTGGTGGGGACACGGGCCCTGGGTCCAGAAGAGGATGGGACCGGCAGAGGTGGGGGGGGGGGGTCCAGCCCCCCAGTCAGCTTCTTGGAGGCCTGCAGCAGGGAAGCCTCTGGACACTCTAGAAAGAGGTCTGGGCTGGGGAAGGGGCTCACAGGCTGTCCTGGAGGGAAATGCAGGGGCCGCAGAGCAGGGAGGGCGCTTATTCAGCAGGCCCTCCCCTCAGGGACAGGGCAGAGCCCCCCATTGGGTGATGTAGGGGACCCTTCTTCTGAGCCCAGTGAAAGAGGCCAGTCCTTAAACCCAATAGCCAAAGCCGTTGGCCCCTGCGGGTCCCCAGAGGGTGGCCTGGGGAACCCTCCTGTGCTCCCTTCCCACCCGCCATCCAGATCCTGCTCAAAGCAGAGTTCGGGTGGGGGGTGGGGGGGCGGGGGCGGGGGGGATGGGGGTCAGGGGGATGGCATGTTCCCGAGACCAGGCACATGGGCAGCACAGGGTGCCCAGAGCACGCACAGGAAAAGCGGCCAGTGAATTTGGCAATGTGGTTGCCCCGCGTGACCTCACCTGGGGCGGTTTTGGGAGCGGAATTAGCTAGAGTGTTGAGGGCACAGGGGAGGATGGGCAGAGGGTGGGCAGAGGCACAGGAAGGCAGAAGGGGAGGACGGGGCTGTGAGGAAGACTGCCCTCCGCAGGACACGAGGCGGACCCACAGTAAGGCTGGGACAGGAGGGGGGAGAAGGAGGGAGGAGGGGACAGAGCAGGGTGAAGCGGCTGGAGGGTCTCTCACCGGGGGCAACCACACGCCCCCATGTGTCAGGGCCACCGGTGCCCAGTGCATGGGATGAAAGGGAAGCAGCGGCTGCATGGCCAGGGCTGGGCGGGCACTGACCCAGGTGTCCACATCGTGCCACCCTGATGCCAGGCCCACCCCTTTCTACAACCTGACCTCATTCTGAAACCCTGACCTCTTCTCCTGGAGGTCCCACACATCCTGTCCTGGTGCCTCGGGGCCCTCCCCCTTGCCCTCCAGATATGCCCCTCTACATGTAGACCCTCCTGGCTGGAGAACCAGGGAGCACTGCACAACCTGGGCCTGGCCAGGACACTCCCCCCAACCCTCCCGCCACTCCCCCAAGGTCCTCCTGGACCCGTCCCCTCAACACATGCCCGCCGGCTTGGCCTCAGGCCAGGGCCTCTGCGCCCACTCAACCCTTCTGGTGGCCCTACTGGGCCTCCCTCTGTCCCGGGGTCCCTGCATTGAGGCCAGCAATTTAGTTGTGGGACTCGCACTTGTCACGTGGTACCTCTGTGACCTTGGGTCTTGTGCACCAGAACAAGGGCTCGGGGTGGGACTGAGGGTCCCTGTCATGTTGAGACGGGAGCATGCTGCTGACAGAGGTCTGGAGGCGGCCACGAGAGGGCACTGCGCAGGCCCACTCCTGCTTGCGTGGCTCCTGGGCGCCCCCTCCTCCCCCAAACCCAGGGTCCAGTCACTTCCTGGGCCCTCCTGAACCCCTCGGGCCTCCCACAGGGCTCCCCTCTTACACCCAGACCCTGCCCTGCCCTCCCCTCCAACATGTGTTCCTGTCAGTGTGCCCCTGCTGCGATGCTCCCCTCCAGGGCCTGCTTCCCGCTGGTGTTCCCCTGCCAGTGTTCCTGTCCAGCATGTGCTCCCCTGCCAGTCAGTGGTCCCCTCCAGTGCATGCTCCCCGGCTGGTGCTCTGCTCCAGCCCATGCTCCCCTGCCAGTACTCTCTCCGGTACGTGCTCCCCTGCCAATGCTCCCTTCCAGCCCATGCTCCCCCCCACCCCAGTGTGTGCTCCCCAGCCTGACAAGCCTTCCCATAGGTCTGCCCTTGTTCCAGCAGCATGATGACCGCCCCGTGAGGTCATCATGCCAACTCTCTGAAACTCCTGGACGTGCTAGATCAGACCCTAGACGCCTGCTGCCAGGCAACCTTCTGGAAACACTTTCTAAATGCCTTCCGTGGATCCCTGGGTGTCCCCTGGGACCATGTGCTGCCCACGCGCCACAGTGGCTGATTTGGGGCGGGAAGGTAAAGGGCCAGGGGTCAATGTGGAGGGCCACGCGAGCTCAAGATGGAACCTGAAGTTTCTAAGGGCAGGGTATGGCAGGTTCGGAGCCCAGCCCACTGCCACTGTGCCCCATCCATCCCTGGCCTCGCTCCTGGGAGCATCCCCGGGTGGGTTAGCCGGGAAGGAGGGCAGCAACCCCTGGGTAAGGGAGCCAGCCCAACCCAGCTTCTCAAGAGGAGGAGGAAATGCAGACACACAGGCCAGACCCTCCCGATCACGCAGAAGAGCCAGCCAGGGTCTGGGTACAAATCCTGCATCCCGAAGGATTCACACTCGATTCCCAGCACCACATGCTCTTCTCCCCCAGCATCTCTGGGGTGTTGCCCAATAACCCCCCCAGCACCACACCAAGTGTGGGACTGGGGTTCCAGGTGCTGCTGGCCAGGGCAGCATCACATTCTTGAGCACTGGCTGGTCCAGCCTGGCTGGCTGCCCGGAGCACTGCTAGGGAGTGCAGGCCCTCCTTCCTGACAACGCGCCCCTTACACCACAGCTGGCAGACCAGCACACGTGCGCCTCTCGCACCCACAGCCCGCCCAGGCTGCCTGCCTCAACCTACCTTCATTGTGTTGCGCTCTCCTCCTCTCATCCCTGGGCGTTCTGGTTCCATCTATTTTCCTAGGAGAGGAGAGAAAACGTGGGCACATGTCAGCCCAGCCGCCACCGGTGCAAACAACTGTCCTTGCCAGACAGACCCACAGGGGGACGAAGGAACTGGCACCTTCTCCTGTGGGCTCAGCCGCCTGGCCCTCCTTTCAGACAACCCCCTTACCCCCACCCCCACCCCGGCACCTGGGACCAGGTCTCCTGCACCTACGGGGAGTAGGGGTGAGTCCGGGGCGCAATCGTTCTCTGCGTTCCTGTCTGAAGCACATCTTGAGGCGTCATCATGACATAGAACTGGCCTGCTGAGAAGCCGGAGTAGGAGTGTGGGGGTTAGTGTCCAAACGGGGGTAGAAGGTAGGGGGGAGTGGGTAGTCTTCCCTCCCTGCCAGGCCTGCTCCACCCCGGCCCCCTCCTCCCTTTACCTCCGGCCTGCAGGCTCTGGTCTGTGGTCTGCACAGACACGGCCGTGGTGTCCCCCACACTGGACGCTGGGAAATAGGCGAACCGCGCCTCCCCACTGACCGCCTCGGCCGCTGGGCTGCCACCATTGCTGAAGGGGTTCTGTATGACAGCCTGGGAAGGAGAATGCAGTGCAGGGTGGGTCCTGAGTCACCATCATTCCCAAGCCCACCCACTACTGCTGTGGGGAGGGGGCCCTCTGGACGTGTCCCTGGGTCTGGGGTCTCAGACAGCCCTCTACTTGTCACTCTCCACTTGTCACTTCGGGGCCCAACCCTTTTTACCTCTTCAAGCCTTCCCTTCCCATCACTCCTATTTTACAACGGAGGGGAGGAATAACAACAAGGCTGTAGTCCTGGGTCTTACTATGCAAAACAGGGACTGGCCCGCCCAGGGCCTGAAGGCAGCATCTGTACTCCACCTGCCCCCTCCCGGGGGAAACACGGTCAGTGTCCCCCTCTCCATTCCCCGGGGGCGTGCTGGGCACCTACCAGTGGGAAGGGTGCTGCGGGGCCTGGGGGCACAGAGGCGGCAGCGGGGCCGGGGCGCTGGGCCGCCCCATCCACACCCACCTGGGTCACAGCCTGCTGCCCCCCGGCGAAGGCAGCCGTGGACACGACGCTGACCGCGCCTGCCGTGTCGCCCTGGCCGTCCAGCTGACCGTCGGTCACCTGGACTACGCGGTATGTCACCTGCAGGGGGCAGCAGAGCGGCGCTGGGCGCGGGGCGCGGGGCTCGCGGGGCGTGGGGGGGGGGGGGCGCTCCCAGCCCCTCCCCGCGCGCGCGGTCCAGCCCGCAAGTGGGCAGCGGGGGCCCGGGCCTCACCTGTCCTCCATTATTCTCTGTGCGGAACTGGTACTGGATGTTGTGGTCGCCGAACGCCGCCTGCTGGACGCTGGCGATGGCCACCGCCGTCTGCTCCTCCGCGCCTGGGCCGTCCCCGCCTGCGCGGGGTGGGGGGGAGGGGGTCAGCGGCGGCGGCGGCGCGGGACGCGGCGCCCCCCGGCCCCGTGCACCCCCCGGCAGGGGGCCCCCCGCGAGCACCCACCTTCCTGCAGCTCGACGCCCTCCTCGGCCTCGGGTCCCTTGTCGTGACTGCGGGGCGGGAGGAGGGGCAGCGCGGGTCAGGGCGGCCGGCGCCCCCCGCCCCTTTGTCCGGCTGCAGGGGTGGGGGCGCGCGGGGTCCGCCGGGGGTCCCGCGTCCCGGGGCCGGGCCCCCCCTTCCCCCGCGGCCTCCATTTTGAGCCGGGCCCCGCGGCCGCTCGGGATCATGGCGGCCCGGCCCGGAGGCCCCGGGCGGCCGGGGGGCCGCGGCCGGGGCGCGCGGGGGGCTCGGCGGGGCCGGGCGCGCTTACCTGGCAGCGGCAGCAGCGGTGGCCGAGGCAGCGGGATCCAGACCCGGGTCCAGCATGTCCATGGGGGGGGCGGGGGCGGGGGGGGGCGCGGGGCCCGGGGGGAGGGGAGGGGAGGGGGAGGGAGGGGAGGGGGCGGGCGGCCGGGGGGGCCCCCGAGCCCGGCGCTCACGCCGCGCGGCAGGAGGGGACGGAGGAGACACGGGAGCCGCTCGCGCTGATCACGGGGACAAACAGTGGGGTCATGTGAGGAGGAGATGCCGCCGCCGCCGCCGCCGCCGCCGCTGCTGCTCCTGCGCCCGCCGCCGCCTCCGCCGCTGCGCCCGCCCGGCTCGGGCCCGGGCTCGGGGCTCCGGGCCGCGGCGCTCTCGCCCCCCGCCCGCTGCACGCGGCCCCGGGGCCTGCTGCCCGAGCCGCCGCCGCCGCCGCCGCCGCCGCGACTTTTTTTTTTTCGAACACGGCCCGCCCAGGAGAGCCGCCGCCTCTGGGGGCCCCGGCCCGCCGCGCGCGCCCTCCGCCCGGCCCGGCCCCGTCCGGCGGCCGATCGCTGCTGCAGCCGCCGCCGCCGCCGCTTTCTATTCCCCCCCCCCCTCTTTTTTTTTTTCCTTCTTTACTTGAGCTGCGCGCGCGCGGCGGCGGCGGCGGCGGCGGCGGCGGGAGCGCGGGCCCGGGGACGCGCGCGCGCGCGGCGGGGAGGGGGAGGGGGAGGGCGGCGCGGGGGCGCGCGCGCGCCGGCTGGGCCCGACGGCGGCGCCTCGGCCGGGCGCTGGGCGGCCCGCGCGCCTGGAACGCGGGCCCGGATGGAACGCCGGCGGCCCCGGAGGCGGGGGGTTGCGCTCGCCCGCGCCCGGGCCCGGCCTCGGGGCTTCGGAGACTAGAAAGTAGGTCGTGGGGGCGGGGCGGGGCGGGAGCGGGGCCGCGCGCGCCCCCGACGGCCGCGAGCCCGGGCGGAGGCCCCGGGGCGCATGCGCACACCTGGGCGGGGCCGCGGCGCGCACGCAGACCCGGGCGGGGCCAGCGCGGGGCACGTCGCGCGGCCCGGGCGGGGGGGTGGGGAGGAAGAGGAGGAGGAGGTCGGCCAGCCAGCACCCGCTCCCTCTCCCTCCCCCTCCGCGCGCTCTTCCTCAGTCGCGGAGCCTGGTGGACGCATGCACAGACACACAACATGCGCGCGCACAGCCTTGCACACGCACACACAGAGCACGCCTCCCACTTCGCGCGGCAAAACAAATGCTTCAGACTTGGGGCTAGTGGTTACAAATTTTATTAATTTGGGGAAGATCGGGGGGGGGGCAGGGAGGTCATCATCATCATTTCCCTCAAATTAAAAAAAAAAAAGAACTGTATAAAAGCTACATACAAAATGTGACATCAGACGACTAAACTTTCCCGACTCAGGGCCAGATTCTGTGGGAGGAAAATACAAGGGTGTCAGTAGGTGGTGGTAGGGGGGCGCCACGAGGGTCTCTGCGCGGGCTCTTGGGCTGGGGCATGTGGACAACTCACCTTCTTGAGCCTCCGCTCCCGGGATGCCTGGGAGTCGGTCTCTGAGTAGGGGGGCGGTGCTGGAGGAGGGTAGTAGTCCTCCTCCTCCTCCTCTTCCTCCTCCCTGTATGGCCTCCGCCGCTTCTCAGCGGCTGGCCCCTTTTTCCTCAAGGCCTCTTCCACTAGGCGCCCATCATAGGGGGGGTCCCGGGACCTGGAGCTGTCGTCCCGGGGGTCGCGGGAGCGGTGGTAGTGGGATCGAAGCTCAGCGTAAGGGCGGTCTCGAGGCTTGAAGTCATAGTGCGGATCCCGAGAGCGTGCAAAGTCCCTGTCGTCATCCCGGTCGTACAGGTCATCGCGGCTGCGGCTTCTGGGGGGTGCATAGGCCCGGCCTCTCCTCCCGGCACTGCTCGGGGGAGACCGACCGGACTCCGCAGAGCCTGGCCTGCCAAAGTCGTCCAGAGCATCCACAGAGTGGGCCCGGGGGCGCCTGGGCCCCTCCCAGTCCCTCCCGGGCCGCTCCATGAGGGGCTCCGGCTCCCTCCGCCGCGGGGAGTGCCGGCCCCATTCCTCATCCAGGATTGGGGTGAGGGCAGGGCCCCTGGAAGGCCGGGACCTCCAGTCGTCTTCGTGGAGGGAGGTGACTTCACTCATGGCTGCAGAGAAATGGGGGGGGGTTGAAGGGCATCACTGACTGCCTGGCAGGGAGTTCCAGGGTCCAGGATGCCACCACTTGGCTCCCGTGTTCCCAGGGGCCCTAGACTTCTCCACGAGTGTTAATATGCAGGTCCTGACCCTCTTTGCTGGCCAGGAGAGGGACAGGGGGGTGGGCCACCTGGACCTGAATTTGCAGCAGATATCTGGTATTGAGGGGACAAGGAGAACCCCAGGGCTTCAACTCACCTCGCTCTATTCGGCCATTGGGAGGGCCAGGTCGCGAAGGGTCGAAGTTGGCCAGTTCCTTCTCCATATAGTACAGGACCCGCATGGAGTCATCATGCTGGCTGGCCTGAATCCTATAGCCGCTGCGGATTTCTAGGGAACAGGACACGGGCAATCAGCTTGGAAGGATAGAGACCGACCGGGTCCCCTCCTCTTACAGGCCCGTCTATAGCTGGTGCTCACCGGAGTTCGCGCTGCTGTCTGTGTCACGAAGCAGGGGCACCTGGGAGCTGTGGCCAACTGGGGGTAGAGGGGAGATGGTGGTCAGCGGCTACCGCCGGGGGCAGTACCCCGCACCTGGCCCCCGCCAGCCCTGAAGCTCCCAGCTCCCCCAGGCCTCACCTGAGCTGTTGCGGTCGAAGTCTCTGGGGTACCTGTATGGTTCCATGGTCATCATGACCGGCGGGGGTGGTGACTTGGCAGGGGAGAGGGCGTAGGCACTGGAGGCGTAGTTGCTCGCGAGGCCTGAAGTGGCTTCTTTGGCGGCATCATAGACTGGGGAGGAAACGACGCACATGTGGCTCCCAGGATAGAGGGTCTGGGCCCTCCCAGCCGCGGCTGTGGGGCTGCCGAGGCATTTGTTTTCTGCACTAGGGGTTACATCAGCTTCACGGAGTCCCACTGCAGTCCGAGGTCCGATCTGTAGTCAGTATGTCCCGTGTGGGTGATGCATGTCCGACACCGGACAAGGTTTCACACGCAGTCCTTGAGCCTGTGCTCCTCCAGAAGGCCAATGGGACCCCTTTTGGGGAACCCCCTGCCAGGGTCCCAGCGCCAGAATCCCTACTGCCGGGGGCAGCCGGGCGCTCAGAAGGGGAGCGTTACTGAGGAAGGGGGACCCCGTTCCTCCTGACTGGCCCCGTGGGGTCTTTCCAGACCCAGATGCACTGGAGATCAGTGTGAAGCAGGAGTGGGGGCCTTGGGGCTTCACATGCCAAGCAGCCACTATCTGGCAGTTCCCAGTGCCAGTCCCAGCCGCACCCCTGCCTTGCCCAGCCCTGCCCCACCCAGTTCAAGGGCAGCTCCATGCTGCTTCCTCCCCAGGCAAGCCTGGAGGCAACAGCAGCCAAGAGCAGGTTGCTTCCTTCCTGGGATGTGGGTAGGAACAGAGGCAGGGAGGAAGGAGATGGGCTAAGAAAGCTCTAGAAGCTCAGTGCCTAGGCATCCCCAGGGAGTCCCTCTCGCTCAGATAATCCCCCATTTGTCTGTCCCTCGCCAGCACAGCAAGTGTGGAAGTGAGCAGTTTCGGGGTGGGGTACAGATAGGACAGGGGTCTGCATTCAGGGACGCGGCATTCATGCCCAGGGGCTGAGCCCTGGGCAGTCTCCCGAGTCCTCCTGACACCCTCGGCAAACACGCCTATGCGGGGTGTGGTGCAGGTGGCAGGGCTCTGAGCTGGCTCTGGCTCGCAGTCACGTCTGACTTGGGCAGCAGCGGGTCAAGGGCCAGCAGGCCGAGAGTGTTTTATGGAGGACAACCCTGCCCCAAGGGCAGGACACCCAGGTCCCCTGGACACAGCCAGGATGGGCTCTGCCACATCCCTGTTGTGCAGAGAAGGGGTCTGAGGTGGGAAGAGTGGCATCTCCTGGGGCTTCCCAGGAGCCCCCTGCCAGGCTCCGCTGCCAGCCAAGCTGCTGGGAGACAGTGTGGCGGACACAGGGGCCAGGATGCCAGGCATTCCGGGAGGACCCGGAGGGGACAGCAGGAAGAGGAGTGTCTCCCACACTGCTAGTTCTGTTCTGCTGCCTATGGTCCCTTCAGGCCTGGCACCCACCAGGAGGTGGGCTGGGGAATTGCGCTGTGTCCTTGGCCCTGTCCACGGGAAAGCAGTGTGTCCTTCCTTCCCGCTGTCGCATGCAGTGGTAATTTGAAAGGGAGCTCCGCCTTCTGCTGAGTAGCACTGTTCATCGATTTGCTCAAGCGGGCACCAGTAACGTCTCCACTGTGGAGCTACTTGTTACTGTTTTTGGCATATCGAATACGCCGCGGGGAGCTTGCTAGTCTCTGCCGTATGGGCGGGTTACTCTTGGTAGCTTGCCAGGCTCTCCGAGAGGGAAGGAAGAATGAAACCCGGGTGGGCCACGTGCAAGGTAAATGCCCTACCCACTGTGCTACTTTTTCTTTTTTTTTTGGTTTTGGTATCAGACTCTGATACTCAGAACTCATTCCAGGCTCAGTGCTCAGGGATCACACCTGGTGGGACTCAGATGGGCTGCTGGGGATGGAACTCGGGTGAGCTGTGTGCACAGCTGAGGGCAAGCGCCCTCCCCACAGGCCTCTCTCCAGGCCCTGAATGCTGTTTTGGGTGATCTGAAGATTTTTCCCTCCATCTCACGTGTAGATGAGACTTCGAGAAGGAAAACTGGCCATCAGTGGAAGCTCGACAAACCAAAGGGGATCAGTCCTCCCCGATGAAGGCATACCCAGGGCCCTACTTTCTCCCCCAGCCACCGATGGGTCGGTCCACCTTCACCTCAGCTGATCTGCCCCTCCCCCCACCCGCCTGGGGCCTCTCCAGGGAAGCCAGGCTAAGGCCGGGGACACTTACGGGCCTTGGGGCAGCAGCACTTCTCGGGGCAGCAGGGGCACCTGACGTAGCAGCAGCAGGTGTGGGGGCAGCACTGGCACCAGCAGATGCTCAGGAGGAGGAAGACGAGGAAGACGGCCAGGGAGACCATGACCACGAAGAGCCAATCTGCAGAGACACGGGAGCAGGCCCTGAAAAGGCCGCCGGGGGTGCCGCGGGGCGTGCAGGGATCCAGCCTCTTAGCTGCTACAGCCCAGGCCCGACCAACTCTCCGGGACAGGCCTACAGGGGCGCGCCCGCACAGGAAAGAAACACCCCCAGCTCCTCTAAGGCAGAGTGGGAGAGACCCGCCACAGTGGCCTCGAGCAGAGACGGGGCTGCCCAGAACCCTGACCCCCACCCCCGAAAAGCACCGCAGCACCAGTCACGGGAGCCCCTGCCTACACCCCAGGCTGCCCCGCCACCCCAAAGCCTGGGGCAGGTGACAGCACGTCATGGGCAGGGTGTGGGGGGTTAGTGGAATCCACGGCAAGCGGTTGTAGGGCAGGGGAGAATAATACTTAGACAAGTGGTAAATGGTGTCGGGGGGACTCCACCCCGGTACCTTCCAAGGGCCCCGCCTGAAAACCAGGTAAGAGCTCGGCTACCCCCGAGGTCCTGCCTGGAGGGACAAAAGAGAGACAGATTATGCTGACAAGGGCCAGCCTGGTGGGTCAGGGGGAGAGTGTGCCTGAGCAGGAGGGTCAGTGGCAACTCCCGCCCCTGCTCCGGCCCACCAAAGGGTGCTCTTTTCTAGAAGGTTCCCACCACTCAGTTCCACCCACTCTCCTGCCGTAGGGGAGACTGCTGCTCAGAATTCCATCCACATCCCAGAGGTTCTGAAGGTCCGGCCTCAGTGGGGGGTGCTCCCATCACTGACACCGTGAGCCAGTCCTGCGGCCTCCCCTGCCCCCAACAAGGCCGGTCTAGGCCAGGAGGCAGGGCAGCCTCAGAGGCAGCATCAGGGGGCAGAACTGTTTCCAATTCCCTTTGAAATCCCAAAGGAAAGGGCTCTCATACGAAATATGATGACAACTTGAGTTGTCTGTTTGGGTGGGTGGGGGCACACCCAGTGCTGCTCTGGGCTCACTCCTGACTCTGTGCTCAGGGATCACTCCTGGTGGATTCAGGGGACCATAGGAGATGCTGGAGATTGAGCCATGTTGGCTGCCTGCAAGGCAAGCCGCTGTTCTATTTCCCCAGCCCCCAACAACAGTTGTCTTTATAGTTTATACTAAGCCATCATAAGATGTCTTTTTTTTTTTTTTTTTTTGGTTTGGTCACAGAGAGGCTGAGGCCTGGGAATGGAAAGGCCCTACCAGCCTCTAAAATTCACAGCATGGTGCTGGTTCTGTGACGCACAAGGGTTCCCTGGGGCGTCTGTGCCCTGACCCTATGGCCCAGCCAGTACCCTCCCTCTGTGCCCTACATGTATGTCTGGAGACACCCCCCACGCCCAACTCTACACCACCCCCTATCCAGAGCTCGTGCACCGGCTACCCCTACCCAAGGCTAGTCTAGCACCCAAGCCAGCAGTTCTCAAAGTGTGGGCGGGTCCACGAGGCCAAAATGGTTTGTGTTTCACCAGTTTCCCGATGTCTGTTCAGCCGGGAAGCACTTCTGGGTGGAAGGCAGCGAATCTTCTACCACAGCTGAGATTTGTATGGGGGAAAGCAGGTCCTGAGCCCAGAACCTGAGAACTGCTGATGCAGACAGAACATCAAACTACGGCAGCCGCGGGGTCACAGTGCACACGGCCTGCACACCACATGCACCACCATCACCTCGGCGCCTGGGGGCCTGGCCCTCATGTGTGCGCATCACACATGCATCGTCTCCTCACACCCCACGTGCAGTGGCAGCGGGGACAGCCAGCAACAGCTCACATATAGCGCACGACACCCAGGACTATATGTGCCGTCCTATACGGCGCAGGGTTGCCGGCAGACACCCCTGCCTGGTCCGGGCAGCGAAGGGCCTCAATGAGGGAAGCAGCCTCCGTGAGGGCCAGCAGGTCGGTCCCAGCGGGGGGAACGGGGAAAGTCCTGTTCGAGGGACTCATGGATGGGTGGTGGCCCAGGGGAGGTGGCCGGCACTGGGTCCAGCCTCCGCTCTTCGACACACACACACCATCCACCCCTCTCACTGCCTGATGCATTGGGTTTTCACCAAACAATGAAGAGTCAAGGAAGGGAGAGAGAGAGAGAGAACCCAATTCTCACGCCTGGCTGAGCTGGAGTGCCCTAAGGCAGCAGGGCCCCTGCCTGGGGTGCTGGGGACAGGTGAGCCCGAGTGACTGGCGGTGCTGAGCAGGAAGCAGAGCAGGTAGCAGAGCCCAGAGAGCCGGAGGGCAGAGGGCAGAGGGCAGGCACAGAGGCCGAAACGCAGCCATTTCCCTTCCCAGGCCCGCAGGGCCTGGCCACTCACCCAGGACGATGAGCTCCGCATAGGCCTCATTGTTGCCCTGGAGGTCCTGGGCCGAGACCACGGAGCAGTAGTACACACCGCTGTCTCCCCAAGCAGTCTGGTCAAAAGTCAGGTCAGCATCTGTGTCAGGAGGACAAAAGGGAGGACACCATGGCGCAGGGGATGGCGGGGAGGCCCTGAGCCCAGCAGGCTGAGCCTCCGGCCACTGGGACGGCAAGTACGGGAACAGGGGTGGGGTCTGCAAGTGGGGGTGTCCACAGCTGACCCCGGCCACACCTCCCCGGGAAGCTCCGGTTTCGGACAGGTGTGCAGAGGTTGAAAACAGGAGCGCCGGGAGCCAGTGGTCTTTGGCTGGCCACAACCTCAGGCTAAATCAGAAGCCCCCAAACTGATTCAGCCTACCACTTCCTTCTCACTGTGCTCCGGTCCCCAAAATCTTCCTTTCCCAACCAAACAAACAGAAAGGGCACATACAGCTGCACCCAAGGCCCCTGCCCACCCCTCATTCCAGCATTGAGAAGGAGGACGGCGTCACCCACTTTGGAAAAAAGACCCGTCTGAACAAGCGTGTCTCAGCAGCAAGGTGGTTTCTGTGATCTTTCCAGCCTAGTGAGCCGGGAGGCTTGCCCCGGAACCGGCACCTGGGAGGCAGAGGCTCGCTCCGGCCCATCTGGACCAGCAACAGTGAACTCCCAGGGCCAGAAGGGCAGAGGCTCCTGAAGAGGCGGGGCCCGGACCCGGGTGAGCAGACAGATAAATAGGTCAGATGCCGGCAACCAGGAGCCACCCAGGTCTGAGAAACCAGCAGTGGGTGCGCGAGCGCCTGGGACCAGGTGCCCACCGCCAGCCCCCACATTCCAGGTCAGGCCCTGGGCTTGGGGACGCGCCTGTCTGCGGCAGCCTGGGGCCAGGAGCCGGCTAATTACCCAGTAATGAAAGTCTTTCAGCACATCCGGTTTCCTCAGCTCCTGGGGCCCTAATTAGTTAAATCCCTTAAGCCATTCATCAAATTGCACAGAAGGGTGAGGACCCACTCGAAAGCAGCCTTACTGCCCAGGAAGGATGGCAGGTAGAGTTGGGTCGGAGGGCATAGCCCAGACTCTTATCTAGAGACCGGCTACGCTCTCTGTTCCCCAGGACTGCAGAAGGCTGGCCCCATCTGCAGTCCCTGCCCATGGGCAACTGGCATCCATGACTGAAGGAAGGAAGGACCCTTCTTCAAGAATCAGACCTCATGTTCTTTCCACCCAGATGCCAAACAGCTTGCCCCTGCCTTGGGCCCCTGGCCCTGCCAGCCTCCTCACTCACCACTGGAACACACACAGGCCTCTCACTTGTTCCTTAATGTTCTGGGCCCACACCTGGCTCTGGGGTCTCCCAGACGTCACGTGCTGGATCCCCCTATTCAGTTAGCGAGGGGTTCAGGGCCCCTTGAAAACCCCACTTCGGCCAGCCTTCCTGCTCCATTGCTTCCACTGTCTGCTCAGCATCTGGGCACTGAGCTATGCTAGAGACAGTCCCTCTACATCAACTCATCGTGACTGCCCGTGTCCTGGGGTCCAGGCCAAAGCACCAGGTTTGCTCTGTGGCCACAGTTCCACCATGCTGGTCTGGGAACCCTGGAGTACAGGGATCCCCGAGGTCGGCTGCTCTCCTTCCACACAGGGGACACTTGCCTCTTTCACGCCATCTCTCACCAGGGTACTGAGGAATGTTCTGGAGGCAACAAGACCCTAAGCCATCCAAGAGAGCAGATGCTGTGGCCGCTCTGATAATTCTGATAATCCGGCTGCTTCTACCCAACAGACTTTATTTATTTATTTATTTATTTTGCTTTTTGGGTCACACCCGGTGATGCACAGGGGTCACTCCTGGCTCTGCACTCAGGAATTATCCCTGGCGGTACTCGGGACCATATGGGATGCTGGGAATCGAACCTGGGTTGGCCGCGTGCAAGGCAAACGCCCTACCCACTGTGCTATCACTCCAGCCCCCCAAACAGACTTTAAAGGAGATTTGCTGAAACAGGAAGCTATGTCACGCTTTTCGTTGTTATGGCAAAATGCTTGGTTTGGCTTAATTTTTAAAGTACATTATTTAGAGTAACTATAATGGGTCTGATCCTGTCATTTAAAATATCTTTTCAGGGGCTCGAGCAATAGCACAGCCAGTAAGACATTTGCCTTGCATGCGGCTGACCCGGGTTTGATTCCCAGCATCCCATATGGTCCCCCGAGCACCACCAAGAGTGATTCCTGAGTGCAAAGCCAGGAGTAATCCCTGAGCATCGCTGGGTGTGGCCCAAAAAGCAAAGAAATAAAATAAAATATCTTTTCAACCTTTTTCCATCTAACTACAGAAACAAGCTCTTACAGGATCTCAGGAGAAATCCCTGCCCTTTGAGGTCAAAAAGGTGACGCTAGGGGGCAAGAGTGATAGGTAGGATGTTTGCCTTGCATGTAGCTGGCCCAGGTTCAATCCCTGGCATCCCATATGGCCCCCTGAGCATGATCAGGAGTGATCCCTGAGTGCAGAGCCAGCAGTAACTCCTGAACATGGCCAGCTGAAGCCACAAAACAAAAAAAGTGAAGCTAAAAAAAAAAATAAATGAGTCTGCCACATGTGGCGGAAAGTGAATCTTCCGCAGAGGAAGAGGGTCCCAGTGCCTGGTGGGAGGTGGTGGCAGTAAAGTTCTGAGATCTGGAAGGTCTCAAATCTGCCTGCTCCAGAGGAGTTGTGAAGGAACTGGGGGCAGAGTCACATTGCTGGTCTGTTTCTGAGTTCCGGTGACACGCTGAGTCCCTCAACTGAATCCCTTTAATCTAAAAACATTCTGACAGGGCTGGCAAGAGAGCAGAGCTGGCCAGGCCCCTGATCTGGACTTAACTCCCAGCACCACATGAGCAATGTGAGCTCTGTCCCTGAGCAATTCTGGGTATGGGACGGCCCCCCCCATCACCATCCCCACACCAAGAATGACCCTGGAGGGGTGACCCAGGTGATCCCCTGGGTGATTCCAAGCACCCTGCACCCAATACTCCAAACCAGTAGGCTGAAAATCACAGGTGGGGTCCAGGACCTCCTGAAAACCACCTGGAGCTACCCCCTCCTCCTCAATAAAAAAAAAAAAAATACAAAATAAACCCCACCTCTCTAACATCCTCTCGCCTCAAAGTTTTCCCACCTGTATCTTCTTTTCTATCTTTTTTCCTCTAGACATAACTCATGCAAATTGACTATAATAAGCCAGAGTGAAAACCAGGGCGAAACTAAATTCCACATTTTGACCTGAGTCTATAATTAGTGTTTGACCTCTGGTCATTCCTCAGATGCCCGTGATCCACTGTTACTCATCAGACACATCCGGCTCCCTGGGAGACGCAGAGAATTTGGGGGATCAGCAAAGGCAACCCCCTGGCTCAGGCGCTTCCCGGCCCTGTCACTTCTGCACGGCCGCCCCGTAACCAGAGCACTAACGTCTGCCAGTGGCTAAGGGGACAGCAGACGCCCAGTCAGGGAAAGACCAACTGGCCAGGAGCTGAATCTGGGCCCCCACAGGCCGGATTTGAGCTCCCTGCGTTTTGTTGTTTGACTGGTGTGATGTTTTCAAAACCCATTGAAAAATAGGACTTTCCGCTTCTTTTGATCAGTTCAGAGGCCTGGGTCCACCTCCTTCCTGCCCGGCGCGCCCTGTCCCTGCCTCAGGACCGACACCGCAGGGGCGGGGTGGGGGGGGTGGGTAGAGGGGGGTGGGTGGTGCGGGACAGCAGGGGGCTGCCACCTCTCCAGGCCTCTGGCTCCTTATCTGCCTTCCCCAGAGGAGGTCTTCAAGCACTGAGGGGGTAGAAACAGCCCCCCCCCAGCTCCCCGCTGTGACCGTGGAGACCCACTCCCCTCCTGCAATAGTCAGCCTTGCTTAGCAACAGCACAGCCACTTCGGAAAAGAGCAGCTCTCTTACTGAGCCTCAGTTGCACCCGCAACACTATGCCAAACCATCACTGGTACCAGACACTCATCAACAGGAATCAGCCGAAAAGGCAGAACTATCCCTCACCCACTTAATGGGGATCTGCCCAAAAAAAACAGAATTTCCCCTGCCTGAAGTCAGTGGAGATAACCACAGAACCAATTAAGGAAAAAGTCACCAGAGAGTGGTATGAGATGATCAGGAAAGCATTCTTAGGGTGTAAAAAGGCCCTGGGAACAAGGGGAGGGGACGCTCTCCTACTTGAGGGGACAGCCCTGACCAGTCCATTTTCTCAGCCTTCTCAGCTTTTCTGAACTCAAATGCTTGCTTGACTTGTGCCGAATAAAGCTTTATACTACATGGCTCATTGTTCTGTGTGGCCTCTCAGATCCCGAATCCTAACAGTAATCCACGCAGGAAGCCCGGGAGGGGGCGCAGGGCCCACCCTGCACCGCGGGGCTCCACCACACACTTTTCTCGTCTTCGAAACTAAGCCTCAGGAAGTGCCTGTGGACAACAGGTTTCCTGATAGGCCACACACACAATGGAGGTTTCCCAGATCACTGCCTGGCACAGCTGCCCAGGTCAAGGCCATTTGCAAGACGCAGGCCCCAAGACAGGACAGGCGCCCCAGGGTCAGGCAGGGCTTGGACTCCGCAGATAGGACGCCTGCCAGCCTTCAAGGGCAGCCTCCGCAGGGAGGCTGTCCTGGCTGGGCCCCTGGGGAAGGAGAGGGGGAAGAACAAGCTGGGTGAGAAGGGAGGGTGGCAGAGCAGGCCGAAGCCCCAAGAAGCCACCTCGGTGGGCTACGACGGCACCAATCTCCAGGCAGAGGCACCTGTCCCAACTCTGGGCAAGCAGGCTGGTCCCTCCCTAACAGGACTGACAGGCTGGCTCCCAGGAAACCTGCCTCTCTCATCTCGACAGAGGGAGCGAAGGATGAGCCACGTGGCCTGGCCCCCCCAGGGTCTACGAGGGGCGACCCTGCCCAAGGAAAAGCTCTAATAGGAAACGCAATCCATCAGCAGAGGCCGCCTTCCTCCCTTGCCCACTGCTGACCACCACTCCTCCCTTCCCCCAACCTTCCCCGGGTCCCAATTCTCCCCCATGCCCGGTGGCAGAAGCTTAAGGGGCCCCCTGTCCACTTCCTCTGGAGCTCCCTGCCCTCTCTGGAACTCTCCACTCTCAGCTTTCTTCAGTTCTCTTCAGACCTGACTCTCTCCACTAGACCCATATCTAGACCCATGTTTTGTTTTGGGTTTTTTTTGGGGGGGGGCATTTTGGATCACACCTGGAGATGCTCAAGAGTTAGTGCTGCTCAAAAGGAGAGAGATAACAAAAGGGAATGCTCTGCCACAGAGGTAGGGTGGGGTGGGGGGATACTGGGATACTAGGGGGTAGGGGATGGGGGGTGGGAGGGATACTGGGATCAGTGGTGGTGGAGAATGGGCACTGGTGGAGGGATGGGTATTCGATCATTGTATAACTGAAACCCAAGCACAATTGTACCTCATGGTGTTTCACTAATAAAAATTTAAGGGGAAAAAAATGAATAAAGCAAGGAATTTAGGCAATAAAAAAAAAAGTTAGTGCTGGCTTCTGCATTCAGGAATTAATTCCTGATGGTGCTCCGGGGACCATATGGGATGCCGAGGGTCAAAACCGAGTCAGGTGCGTTCAAGGCAAATGCCCTCCCCACAGTCCTATCCCTCCAGCCCTAGGCCCACTTTTTTGAGAGTCAGGGTCTCACCTGTCCTGCCCACCACCCTCCCCAGCCTGCAGTGGACACCCATCGACAGAGTGGATAAAGGAATGAATGAATGGCTGGCGTGATGACACAGGACCACGGCCCTCAGGATGGTCCACCCTCTATTTCTAGCTGAGCTAAGCCACTTCTCGGTGCCTCAGTGGTTACCAGGATAAAATGTGGCTCTGAGGGACCTTAAGAAAGGGCTGAATGGGGCTGGAGAGATAGCACAGCAGGCAGGGCGTTTGCCTTTCACGCAGCTGACCCGGGTTCGATTCCCAGCATCCCATATGGTCCCCCGAGCACCACCAGGAGTAATTCCTGAGTGCAAAGCCAGGAGTAACCCCTGTGCATCACCAGGTGTGACCCAAAAAGCAGAAAAAAGAAAGAAAAGAGCCGAAGGGGCTAGAGCAATAGCACAGCAGGTAGGGCGTTTGCCTTGCATGCAGCCGACCCCGGTTCAATTCCCATCATCCCATATGGTCCCCTGAGCACTGCCAGGAGTGATTCCTGAGTGCAGAGCCAGGAATAACCACCGAGCATGGCTGGGTGTGATACCACCCCCCCCCAAAAGAAAGGGCTGAAGCAACTCAAAACACCATCAGCATCTCTGGGGGCCTTCGCCCACACACCTGGATGAGCCATGATTTGGCTAGCTCAGAGACTACAAGGGGCTTTCTTGGATGCCCAGCTCTGCCACCAGCTGTGTGACCCTGTTCCAGTTACTTTACCACTCTGGGCCTCTGTGAAGGAGCTACAATAGAACCTACTGTAACTGTATAGTCTGCTGGGTGGAGCCAGGTAAACTGATTTAAAGCCTGGGACTTGAAGGCCCAGCAAAGTTGTTACTTAGACAAATTGTTTCTTTTGTCTGCTAGTTATGAATCTTCTCCCTCCTCCCCCTCTCCAGTAAAGAGTGGCATCTATCTTGAAGCACTTGATAGTGCTGTACTTATCACCTTCCCCCGGCCCTCACTGGGATGGGAACTGCACAGAGAGAGGAGTGACCCGCTCTGAGTGTACTGTGGGATTCCTAGGGCCTGGGACAGCCCATACAAGCAAAACTGCTCTTGAAATCCTCATGAACTAAAGGAAAAGAGATGGACAGATGGGAGGGGGCTGTCCTTCCTCAGTGCTCTCGGCCATTGGCCCAAGCTTCCAGACAGGAACTCCATCAAGCATGGGGGAGCCAGCACCATGGGGGGAGGGGGGAAGGGGGTGTACCGGCCCGGCCCCTCACACGTACTTCCTGTGATGGTGATCCTACGGCCCTGGTAGTACTCGCCCAGGGTCACGGCGTTGCCCTGCTTGGTGGCCACCACCCGGACCGTGCGCACGCTGTCTTGGCACTCCACATAGGGGTTGTAGCCCGGGTTGTTGGCCGACAGCTGGGCATTGAGCTGGTTGTCCACGCTGGCGGGCGAGAAGGCATCGGCGATGCGGTCTCGGCAGAAAGACTTATACTTCCAGATCACAATGGGTGCTGTGGGGGTCGTGGTCAGCTGGTAGGTGCAGGGCAGGGTCACAGGTTGGAACAGGATCACCACGTGGTAGGGGTCAGACACCGTCACCTGGATGGCTCTGGCAGGGCCTGCGGGCCAGAAGACAGGAATGAAGGGATGACTGAGTGCTGGGGGGGGTGGGGGGGGGAGGGGGATGGGGCTTCCCAGAAGCTGCGGGGTCCCTGGTTTTACAGCCGGATACACGCTTTTCCTAATCCCGTGACGACCGGGAGGGGGCTGGAGAATGAATCAAGACAGTTTCTGAACCCAGGGAGGCTGTGGTGCCAGGCAGCAGGTCACGAGGCCAGATTCCTGAGAAAACCCTGTCCAAACCGCTCCCCTGGCCAGCATGCCTCTGAACTCTCCGGGCCCCCTTCCCCCAAAGGACCTCTCTCTCCCTCTCTCTCTCCCTGCGGGGCCCCCTTCCCCAAAAGGACCTCTCCCTCTCTCTCTCTCCCTGCGGGCCCCCTTCCCCAAAAGGACCTCTCCCTCTCTCTCTCTCCCTGCGGGCCCCCTTCCCCAAAAGGACCTCTCTCTCTCCCTCCGGGCAAGGAAGCCCAACCAGCCACGACAAAGGACAAGGTGACGCCCTGGCGCTGGAGAAACGCCTTCCCAGCCCCTCTGCAAATCTGGGGGCCAATCTTGGAGTTAGCCGGAGCTGCTGATTCGCTCCCGGAGTAACTCGAACCATCTCTCCCTCCCACTCACCCTCCCACCTATCCCCCCCCACCCCCTCACCCAAACGCACCGCAAGTGCTCCGCGAGGAGAAAGTCCTCCCACCCCCACACAAACAAACATTGGATCGGGGGAAAGCTGCCAGCGGAAGATGGTTTCGAACCGAGTCCACAAGTCCACCCTCCCCCCACCTCCACCAGCGCCCCCCTCCGCCCCCTTGCTCAGTCCCTCGCCGGACACCTAATCCCGGGCCCGCCAGGCACGGCGCGGAGTGGGCACACCTCAACCGCGCAGCCACCCGAGGTCTGGGCGCCGTTGCTTCAGCTCTCCTTTCTAGAAAGCGTCCGATCCAGCCCCTCGGGCATCCTCCCCTCTTCACCCCAAGACTCCGAAAGTTTGGGGGTACGCCCGAGGCCGCGCTGCTGCCTCTCCCAGCGACCGGGCGGCCCCTGGCCGCGACAGCACAAAGGGCCCCGCTCCCCTGCCGCTCCCGAGTTGGCGGTCCCTGGAGTCCCACTTCCTCCTACCGCAGAACAAGAGGATGGGGTGGCGGTGTGTGCTGGGAGGGCGCGCCCCACCACCCACCCGGCCGGCCCCCTCGGACGCAGTGGCCGAAACCCCCGTCCCCGGGTCGGGAGTCCCGGCCTCCCGCGCGTCCCCTCCAAGCCCTGCTTGCTGTCCACTCGGGGGCCTGGGCGCATCTTATCCATCCTCCTTCTACAGAGCCCCCCCTCCCCGCCCCGCACCTTGCGGATCAGGCGCCCCAGCCCCCGTACCTGTGCACCAGGTGCAGAGTAAGAGCCCCACGAAGACGAGCGCGCCCCGAGCCCGGGTGCCGGGGCTGGAGTCTGGGATCCCGCCGAGCGCGCCGGCCGCCAGCGCCATCGAGGCCGTCTGGGAGCGTCCGGCGCGCGCGTCCCCTCCCAGGTACCGGGAGGGTCGGGGGCGCGGCGCGCGCCAAGGCCCTGAGGGGTGCGCGCTCCTCCCCTTCCCGCTTGGCGTTTCTCACTCCCGATCCCGGCCCGGCCGGCGCTGGTTCTGAAGTTTGAAAAAGCGGCACCCACACGGCCGGGGGGAACGTGCTTCCAGCCGGCGGGGAGAAACTCGCAGGGCGCGCGGGGTTTCTCCGAGACTCGCCCCCCCGTGCGCCCCGGGGAATGGATCTGCCCAGGTGCAAGGGGTGAGATCGGAGGGCCGGGCTAGAGGGGTGGGCGGCGGGAGGGACGCCTTCTCCGCCCTCCCCGGAAGTGGGCTGACCCAGGTGCACCCCGGCCCCCTGAGGGCCGGAACCAAGTGACCAGCCGCTGGGAGGGCGCCCGCGGCCCTAGGGGGGGATCCCGACCGGGCTCCTCCCGCCCGGGCCCCGCCGAGCGGAGTATGACTCACGGGGACGCCACTGAGACTCGGCTGGGATGAATCACCTGTTGCGGGGGTGGCGCCCGCCGCTCACCTGTTCCCTCCTGCCCACACCCCTCTCCGCAGCCGGCCGATGGACCGGCCTGGGTACACCCTGCGGGGAGGGGCCAGAGCCAGTTCTGGACAAGGAGACGCGGTGCCTGGAGCGTCCGACTTCTCCTGGGCACTCCGGGTTGCTCACGCCCGGGTGGGTGGAGGCCCTGCCGGCCTCTTGGACCTCCCACTTGGGTGATTTAGACCGGGAGGCCCGCCCGAAGGGAAAGCCCGGGAAAAGTTCCCAGGGCACTTGGGCACCTCGCCGCCCGCCGCTTCCAGCCCCGCGCCCTGGCTCCCAGCTCGTGCTTTGGCCTCCCGGGCTCCCCTGGCCGCAGGTCAGGTCTCGGGGAACCGCTTCTTAAAGAGGCCGGAGGAAGGCGCGGAGTCCGGGACCCGTTTTCAGCGTTAAGATTCTCCGGGCCGCAGCCACCTGCGCTCCAGGGCGGGACCAGCTGGACGCGGACCTTCTCGTGCGGCTCTGCTGCCCTCGCGTGGCGCCGAGCGGCACTGCTACCCAGCAACTTTGTCGGAGACTTCTAGGAAGGAGGTCGCAAACGATGCGGAAATGTCGTTTGCAATTATCTCGGTGGTATTCCAAACCCAGACTGTGCCAAGATAATCTTGTGAAAGCTTTACAACAACCAAAGTGTGTGATGGACAACTCTTAAAGTGTAGAGATGGGGGACCGAGCGTTGGCAAGTCACAGCAAGTGCCCTGAGGTCACAGTGCCCCCATTGCGCTCTTGGTACAATTGATTAGTGGATGGTGCAGGTGTGCCTGGTTAATCACAGACTGCTCCAAACCGTGTTGACTTTCCCAGAGGAAACTCAGGATGTTTGCCGTGACCTGGTTGCTCTCAGTCCTCGCCACCTCCCAGTCTTCTGGTTTGCTCAAGGTCAGCTACACTGACCTAGGCATGGCAGAAGTGAGCACCCTCCACTAACCCTTCAAGCCCCTTCTCCCTTTCCCGCTCATGCTCTAAGCTACTCCATCTCCTTCAGAACTTTGAGTGACATCCTCCCTGGCCTTTTTTACAATATCAATTTTTAAATCCTGCTCCCCCTTAAATATTTGTGTGAGCAGGAGCACTTGTACATCTCTGACACTGGTAAAGATCCCAGATACCACATGAGGTCTCCTGAACACTTTCCAGGAGTGCTCTCTAAGCACAAAGGAGAAATCCCTAAACACAGCTGGTGCGGCCCCCAAATTAATCCATATATATATATACATGTGTACATGTATATATATGTATATATATACATGCATATCTAGAGAAAGGTGGGAGACTGTACAGAGATTGAGGTGCTTACTTTGTATGTGGCTGACACGCTCCTAAGTGCACAGTGAGTTGCAAGCCCTGAGCACCTCTGGGTGTGGCTCAAAAGCCAAAAGTATACACTTTTTTATGATGGTAAAATGTACATACCATAACATTTAATCTTGTGTAAGTGTACAATTTGATGATATTAGTTATATTTATGGTGTTGTGGGCTCATTGCCTCTGTTTATAATTAAACTTTTACATCATCCCCAGTGTGAACTTAGTACAAACAAAACAAAATCCCAAGGACTGGAGCAATAGGACCGTAGGTAGGGCGCTTGGCTTGCATGCAGCCAACCTGGGTTTGATCTCTAGCATCCCATATGGTCCCCAAGCACTACCAGGAATGATTCCTGAGTGCAGAGCCAGGAGTAACCCCTGAGCATCGCTGGGTGTGGTTAAAAAAACACACAAAACAAGAAACCACCCCTATCCTACCTGCCCCCAGCACCTGGTAATCCCTATTCTACCCTTCTTTAACTCGCTGTCAAAGTGAACTCACTGCGCACTGATTCTGCTGCAAACTTACTCAGTGTTTTCAATGCCTATCCACCTCACAGTAGAGATCACAATAAACACATCTTTTCCTTTTTATAATAGCTTTTGTGTGTATATACACATTCTGTGTAGTCACTTCTGTCACTGAACACTTACGTCATTGAATACTTGGGTTGCTTCAACTTTTGGGAGATGGTGAATAATGCTGCTGTGAATATTGATGTATGGATACCACCATTCTTCTCATTTGGATGTTATACCTAAGAGTGGGCTAGAGCGATAGCACAGCGGTAGGGCGTTCGCCTTACAAGCGGCCAACATGGCCGACCCAAATTCGATTCCTCCGCCCCTCTCGGAGAGCCCGGCAAGCTACCGGCAAGCTACCGAGAGTATTTGATATGCCAAACACAGTAACAACAAAGTCTCCAATGGAGACGTTACTGGGCCTGCTCAAGCAAATCAACGATCAACGGGAGGGCCTTTACCTTTACCTAAGAGTGGAAGTATCAGGTTATGTGGGAACTAATTAAATTTCGTTTATATATTTATCTCAGAGGATCAAACTCAAGGCCTTCCGAATGCACGGCCTGCAGTCCACCACGGAGTCACCTCCCTGGCCCTGGAACTCTGTTTTTAAAATGGATAAACTTTTCCCATCATTGTGCCTTTCACATTCCCTCCAGCTATGCATGGTGATTCCGATCACTCCACAGCCTTACCAACAGTACCACACTTGGCAATACTCAGGGATTACTCCTGGCTCTGCACTCAGGAATTACTCCTGGCAATACTTGGGGGACCATATGGGATACTGGGAATCAAACACTGCAGCATGCAAGGCAAATGCCCTCCGCACTGTGTTATCGCTCCGCCTCCACTGCCCCCTTTGTTGATACCGGCCATCTGAGTTGGTATGCTGTGGCATTCCATCATGTTTTTCCTTTGCATTTCCCCAGCGAAGAATGATGTGCTTTTCTTTTTACATCCTTAATGGCCATTGACGATTTGCTCGAGCGTCAATGGCCATTAAGGGCTGGAGCGATAGCACAGCGGGTAGGGCGTTCGCCTTACAAGCGGCCAACATGGCCGACCCGAGTTCGATTCCTCCGCCCCTCTCGGAGGGCCCGGCAAGCTACCGAGAGTATTCGATATGCCAGACACAGTAACAACAAAGTCTCCAATGGAGACGTTACTGGGCCCGCTCGAGCAAATGGCCATTGACATATCTTCTTCAGAGAACTGTCATTTCGAACATTCACCTATTTCTAATTGGGTGGTTTGGATTTTTTTTTTTTTTTTTGCTTTTTGGGTCACACCCGGCGATGTTCAGGGGTTACTCCTGGCTCATGCACTCAGGAATAACTCCTGGCGGTGCTCGGGGGACCATATGGGATGCTGGGAATCGAACCTAGGTCGGCCATGTTGGCTGTGTGCAAGGCAAACGCCCTACCTGCTGTGCTATCGCTCCAGCCCCTGGTTTGGATTTTTTATTTTGTTTTTGTTTTTCCATATAATCTGAGTATCACTGCCTTGTCAGATATCTGAGCACATATATTTTCTCCCATTCTGTGAATTTTATTTTCATCTTTTTTATAGTGTCCTTGAATGCTTAATGGTTCTGAATTTGATAAAAATATTCCACAAACGTATTCAATGTGTTCCACTGCCTTTCCCAGCCCTTCAGGTTGATGGTCAACAAAAAGAAGTAATGTAGACTCCCAGATCAAAGTACAGGATTACCCATACGAATGGGTGGTGCAGGTGTCTGGGTGGTGGTATTAGTTATATTCATGACGTACAGTTTCCCCTCCCCACCATACTATATCACAAAAATCTAATTATTCCTATCTCTACAATCCATTAGGATACAAGGGTAATTGAATGAGGTCATTGAATGGTGTGTCCTCAGGCAGCCATGGAATTTGAATGGATTTTATAGAATGGAGCATCCTACTAACCCACATTAGACTTAGTATTGTGAGCAAAAGAAACAAGCAATAAATATTAAGTCACAGAGATCCCAGAATACTTTTGTTTATACAGAGTAACCTAATTTTCCCAGTAACTAATACCCAATTGTAAAGAAGGTCCAAGAGTGCAGGGATTTTGCCAGGATGTTCCTCTCCAAGGTGAGTGCTTATTATTTAGAGATTAAATGAGTGTGTCAGGCACAGGAAGGGAAGTTATTAGGCCCAGATTAAACTGGTAAAAGGTGACTCAGGAGCTGGAGGATAACTCAAAAGCCAGCGCGCGTGCCTGGCATGTACAAGCTGTCAGGTTCAATCCCGGGTTCCACAGGGCCTCCTGAGCACAACTAGGTGCAGCCCTGGTATCCTGCAGCCGGAGAGATTCCCACAAGTACCAACAAAGCAAAATTTTAAAAGTTACACAAGGGGCTGGAGCAATAGCACAGCGGGTAGGGCATTTGCCTTGCACGGGGCCGACCCGGGTTCAATTCCCAGCATCCCATATGGCCCCCCAAGCACTGCCAGGAGTAATTCCTGAGTGCATGAGCCAGGAGTAACCCCTGTACATCGCCGGGTGTGACCCAAAAAGCAAAATAATAATAATAATAATAATAATAATAATAATAATAAATAAAAGTTACACAAGTCTCAACTAACGACAAACAGCTTAGTAAATCTTCAGATAAAGACTTAACAATTTAACAATTTTCACAGATTTTCTTTTACTAAAATATATTTTTTTGGCTTTTTGGGTCACACCAGCGATGCACAGGGGTTACTCCTGGCTCATGCACTCAGGAATTACCCCTGGCGGTGCTCGGGGGACCATATGGGATGCTGGGAATCGAACCCGGGTCGGCCGCATGCAAGGCAAACGCCCTACCCGCTGTGCTATCACTCCAGCCCCTACTAA